ATGTGCCATGGCTCGCCAAAACGTGATTATTAATTATGTTTCTTTCAGTTTGTTAAGTTCGTTTTACTTCATAACAGCAACTGTGCCTAATTGAAGGCATGTAATAGCGACACCCGGTGGTTATTTATTGAATTACGTTCAGATTCTATTAATATTCATAAAAAGCCTCGCGGGCCGCCACAAAACTGATTGCGGGCCGAAGATGGCCCGCAGGCCGTATTTTGGACACCCCTGGTGTAGAAGAAAGCATATGAAATTGAAAACAGTCACATTACCCTTTGTCTGGAAGTTTATTAGTAAGGAAAAAACCCTAGCTGTGCATATAGCCCATAGCAGATCTTGTGATGTGACTATTTTGGATGTTCATATTGCAATATCAATACTAAAACGATACATTGTGCAACCTTAATATAATGTATGTGTACCTTAATAGTGCTGAGGTCCATGGGGTGTTTGATGATGTCGTGGTAGTCGTGGAGACCCAGCGCTGATGCATCTACAGGCTTGTAGAAGGGCCAGGCATAAGCCACGTGTTTTTTGGACAGCAGCTCCTTCAGGACGCCACTGCAGTAGCGAAGCTGTTTGCTCAGTTTTCCTCTTCGGGAGGGCTGATGCGGCCGCACGGAGTCCGGCAGATCTTTACGTGGAGGTTTGATGGGACGTCGAGACAGCGGGCGACCCCCCAGTACAGGCTGGAGGTGGACAGACTCATTCACACCCATGCTGGGAGAGCAGTCCAGAGGCATGGAGGACAGAGAGTGGGGCATCTCTCCACCCGAACCGTGGCCCTTACCTAGGCCTCCCATTCGAGGAGCCGGAGTCACTGGGAAGCCGAGTGTAGTGGGAGTGGTGGTGTCGGCTTTACGCTTTACACCCTTCTTCTGCAAAGGGAAGAGGAAAACAAGACTATGTAAAACATAAAATTATGTATACAGTTGATGACAAAATCATTCGCCTTCCTGTAAATTTTTTACTTTTTAAATATTTCTCAAATGATGTTAAACAAAGTAAGGAAATTTTCCACAGTATTACCTGTAATATTGTTTTCTTCTAGAGAAAGTCTCATTTGTTTTATTTCTGCTAGAATAAAGCAGTTTTCCATACTTTTTTTAAAAACAAGTTTTAGCTCAATAATGTTATTAACTTCTTATATTATAATTCAGGAGGGACAAGTGAGAATGATTAGCCCTCCTGAATTATATATATATTTTTCTCATAATTTCTGTTTAACAGAGAAGATTTTTTCAGCACATTTCTAAACATAATAGGTTTAATACTCATCTCTAATAACTGATTTATTTTATCTTTGCCATGATGACAGTAAATAATATTTGACTAGATATTTTTCAAGCCACTAATATTCAGCTTGAAGTAACATTTAAGGGCTTAACTAGGTTAATTAGGTTAGCTACGCAGGTTAGGGTAATTAGGCAAGTTATTGTATAATCATGGTTTGTTCTGTAGACTATCTGAAAATAAATATAGCTTAAATGGGCTAATAATTATTCTAGCCAAAATAAAACAAATAAGACTTTCTCCAGAAAAAAAAATGTTATAGGAAATACTGTGAAATGTATATATATATATATATATATATATATATATATATATATATATATATATATATATATATATATATATATATATATATATATTAGGGATGTGCGGAGCAGCCGGTATTTGTATTTGTAGAGGGGGGAAAAGTATTTGTATTTGTATTCGAGTAAAAATCAAAATGGCGCAAAAATATATATTTTTTCTATTACACTTCTAATTTACGTTATAGTGAAAGTCTTGTTTAATTATACCCATTATATAAATTATAGACATGCAATATTGGCTGTTGTTTTTAAACATGTGACAAGAAATGTCATTGAAAAGAAAGTAACATAGAAGCCATTATCTCATCCATGGTTAAACCAACAACTAATAAAATACCATTGTGAATATTATGAACCCCACCACCACCGCTCTTGTTGAAGGACACTGAATAGACAGAATAAAAACAAATAATACTTCAAAAAACTGTTCTTCTTCTGAAAGAACTTCTTTCCAATGGACAGAATTCCAAAAACTAAAATTAACTAAATAAATCTAAATAAAACCCTGCCTGGGAGATCTGGCAGAACAAAAGTATTCTATATAATACTAAAAGATACAGCCCTGCTATTGTCATCTGCCTGACACACAACAGACACAAAGTTTTTTTTTTTTTACTTTTTTATGTTTGAAACTGACTTGCTGGGGCAGAATGTGGCTGTGTTGATGGTTTGGTGCTTGTGGAGGATTTAGCAGAGCATAGCTGTGCAGATTGAGGGGATTGATGCTTGTGGGGGGTTCACAGACAGTATCAGGAGAGGATGCTTTTAGTGCATGTGATAATACATTACATAGAAGGTTGCGCGGTGGCATAGTGAGTAGCACTGTCGCCTCACAGCAAGAAGGTTGCTGGTTCGAGCCCTGACTGGGTTCTCCCCATGTTGGTGTGGGTTTCCTCCGGGTGCTCCGGTTTCCCCCCCAGTCTAAACACATGCAATACAGGTGAATTGGGTAAGCTAAATTGTCCCTATTGTATGTGTGTGAAAGTGAGTGTATGGATGTTTCCCAGTGCTGGGTAGCAGCTGGAAGGGCAGCCACTGCGTAAATCATATGCTGGATAAATTGGTGGTTCATTCCACCGTGGCAACCCCAGATTGATAAAGGGACTAAGCCGAAAAGAAAATGAATGATTTAATCAGATTATGCATAGAAGATGTTGACAGATGTTTAATATCTCTGCCTCTGCTGATTTCACTTTTGCACACATTATACAGTATCTGTTTGTTTTATCTGCAGCACCACTGACTGTAAGATGCTTCCACACAGAACCTCAAGTTTTATTTTTTTTACTGGTGGAGGACCAAGAAATGGCTCAGCAGCAGTCTCACTCTTTTTTATGGTGCCCAAATGTATTTGAGGAGTTTCAAGTTAATAAAAAGTGACGGGAAGCTATGCTAAGGTTAACTAGCCTATAGCATATATCTTGCTGTCTGCAAAAGAGTTATTTAGACGTACCATATAACTCCCATAAGTGCATACTATTCGACACAACTGCAAAAGCATCGTTTTAACCTTTATAAACGAACGTTAACGTTACTCTGTCAACAGTCTATTGTCTAAATTACCGCGCTAACAGAGCTAATGTTGCGTAAACAGAGAGCACCCGGTTGCAAAGGTCAAAAATGCAGCGTAATGGAAAATCCGGAACAAACTCCGCTACAAGTTTATAAACTGCATCTGGAACCCAATTAAGGTACAAAAATCTATTTAACAAAAATAGTGATGCAGAGATGTATTTTTTTCGCTCAGCCGAGCCTTCTCTGTCTGCTGCTGTGGAGAAGCTTGTGCCAGAGAGAGACCTTTTACCTCCGCCCCGCCCTCCGACTGAGCGCCTCTCTCTCTCTCGCTCTCTCTCGCTCTCTCTCTCACTCACGCACTGTGGTCTCAGGAGAAACGCAGCTTTTTGATGTAATGCTTTTCTTGCTCCCGAATACAAATAATTTTTCAAGTATTTGTTCGAAATAAGTGTTCGTAAAAACACGCTATTCGTGCCTTTCCGAATACCGTATTCGGGTTCGGATCCACCCTTAATATATATATATATACAACAGTTCTGTCTGGTTTTCAAATCTGATTGGCTGATAGCCGTGCAATATTCTGCAATATCAGAACTCCTACAGCCTCTTTACCCTTTGTGTATTACTCCACCCACATACAGCCAGCAAAAAGCAGACACTACAGATCTAAAGTTTGAAAGATGCTTGCTCAGCTGTTTAACTGTCAGCTTATGATTTGAATCCAATGTGGAAGAAAGTAGTTCCACATACAAAAGGGTTTTTGAGGCTCTCCATGTTTGATTTTGTTTTTATATACACAATTATGTCGTCAAACTGTTGTATAAACGCAATATCACACGAGTAGCAGTGCGATATGACTGTATATCGGCACTGGTGGGGGCACTAAGGCACTCGGCCTGCGCCCTAGTGCCATTGCACGCCTCCCACCAGTGTCGATATACAGCCATATCGCACTGCTACTCATGTGATATTGCTCATATATATATATATATATATATATATATATATATATATATATATATATATATATATATATATATATATATATATATATATATATATATGCGCACACACACACACACACACACACACACACACACACACACACACACACACACACACAAGCAGGCAGGCAGGCAGGCAGAGTGCGCTTAGCTTAGTTAAGGCTAACCTCAAGTACTGTGTGGATATCTGTTATGCTAATGTACAAAATAAACCTGATTTAACTTCCACAAACCGGGATTGAAGCGTCTTCTTTTATAATTGTTCTGACACGTGGCTGTGCTGATAAAGTAAAGCTGAAGTAAAACGTTGTAATTTATTACACACATACTCTGTTTTAAAACACTTTAAACATGTGAAACTTACTCTTAATCACATTTGATGATGATGATTGCTGATCCTAGCAAACAGAACAGACCTTTTATTCCCGGTTGCTTTGCGTATGTCTGCCTGGTCTTGTTGACATATACACGCGACTACCGGAACATGTTAATGCGCGCAGCTGTCAATCAATTCGGTGGGCGGGGGGATAACACACCTATGTAATGGTGCGATCGATTTGAAAACAGCTCCAATTGGCCGACCCTTTTTTTTTGTAGTTAAATTGAAAAAAAAGGACTGGGTGTGTTCATATCACCCCAGTATGACGGTCTATACACTATACCAACACACAGATCTGTCCAAACAGCTTGAAAAGTAGATTTTTTACCATAGGTGCCCTTTAATCTAACATGTTCCAACAGTTTTTTTTTTTTGTTTAACATTATCTATAAACTAAAACGTTCAATAGCAATTATTTGAAATAAAACCTGCAACAAATGTAAAATATTTACTGTCACCATTTACTGCATTATTAATAAAAACAGAAACACATACAGTACAAACACACATATTTATTTATACACACGTATATATTCATTCATCCATTTATTCATTTTTGTTTGGCTTAGTCCCTTATTTATCAGGGGTCGCCACAGCGGAATGAACCACCAACTTATCCACCATGTGTCTTACACAGCGGATGCCCTTCCAGCTGCAAACCAGTAACGGGAAACACCCATACACTACTGCCAATTTAGTTTCAATAGTTCACACTGAGCTGATGATTAATGATAAAGTGTGTTTGGCATGCTGTCCCGGGAGAGAGCCCCGAGCTCATAAGATCTTCGAGCCTTGAGCCTTTAGTTTGCAGGGCGAGAGGGGAGTTTGAGCTCAGGTAGATCTTGATGAACTGAACAGTGAACAGTGGTCTGCTTTGTAGATGGGCTAACAATATAGTCCTTTAAATAGTTAAAAAAAGGGAAAACTTCTTTTATTCTAGCCAAAATAAAACAAATAAGACTTTCTCCAGAAGAAAAAAATCATAGGAAATACTGTGAAAATGTCCTTGCTCTGTTAGACATCACTTAATAAAAAGTGTGTGCGCGTGAGTGCATGCGCGTATACCTTTGCTGTGGGTTGAGTGTGTGGTGGGGTGATCAGAGATGGAGGAGGGCCGCTGCTGCTCAGCAGGGTCTGTGGAGGGGTGGAGAACTGCGAATCTGGTGTTTCAGGTGAGGAAGGAGAGTAGGCTGACTGAGACACGGCTGGAACCTGGTGAGCCGATGTTACACTGCCTCCTAATGGAAACAAAGCACCAGTGTCAGTTAAAGATCTCATTAAATTATAGATGTCAGTTTCAGTCTGTTAGCTTTACAGATATCTCTAATCTAGTGCGCTCCAAAACAGTGACAAAAATCACATTTAGAAAACATAAAACTGATGTAAACATGTAAAGCTTGAAATTTGTCACTTCTGCCTAAATGAATCGACAATATTTTTCATGTCACCTTATACTTCAGTTTCTTATCAGATGTTCTGACCAATCAAATGCTCTCTAGTGTCCAACATGCCCCGCCCCCTTCAAAACACTGATCAATTGATGTACTTGATATCAACTACTTTAACAGCCAGAGCTGTCATAAAAAACGAAGTGCTATTGGTTGTTTTTTTTTAAATGGGAGGAGCTAATCTATGTCCAGCCCTTTCTTCATTTTTCAGTTAAGATTAAGATAAAAATCGAATAAAAAATTCATATTTCAATAATCTACTGACTCTAATACTCTGCCAAATATGATGAATAACTCACCTCTGCTTTTCCGTGCTTTGACGCTTTTATTTCCTCTTCCTCTCGGCGTAGGAGAGGGCAACTCGATCTCGTCCTGAGGCATTTGGGCGACCTTCTGTAAGAACACCTTTTCCAGAGACTGTGCCATCAACACAATGTCATCTGCAGGCTGAAAAACAAATCAAATTCTACATTTCTGTAGCACATTTCAACAGCACCATTAGTCGCTGGATGGGTGATAAGTATAGTAAAAAAATATATAGTCTGATGTTAAAACAAAGGCGGCATGGTGGCTCAGTGGTTAGCACTGTCGCCTCACAGCAAGAAGGTCATTGGTTCCAGTTCCGGCTGGGCCAGTTGGCCTTTCTGTGTGGAGTTTGCATGTTCTCCCCATGTTGGCGTGGGTTTCCTCCGGGTGCTCCGGTTTCCCCCACAGTCCAAAGACATGTATAGGGGAATATATAGGGGAATTGAGAAAACTAATTTGGCCGAAGTGTATGAGTGTGTAAATTAGCGTGTATAGGTGTTTCCCAGTGATGGGTTGCAGCTGGAAGGGTATCAGCTGTTTAAAACATATGTTGGAATAGTTGGCGGTTCATTCCACTTTGGCGACCCCTGATAAATAAAGGGAGTGAGCCAAAGGAAAATGAATGAATGTTAAAATAAGTCTCTTATTCTAACTAAGAGTGCTTTTTTTAATATAGTTTTTTATTGAACTGCAGTAAAACTGAATTCTTGCATAAAATTGTTATAATTTAAAATAACTGATTAATATTTGTGACTTTGAATTCCTTCCTGTGATGCAATGAATGAATTTATATAATCATTACTAGCAGATAATTTTTGATTTACTGTTAAAATGGCATTTTAAATTGTCGATGTTGAAAACTGATGCAATATATTTTGTTGAAAGCAAGATTTTGTATAAAAAAGGTTAAAATTATGATATTTCATGACATTATAACTGCTTTTCCTATCCTTTAACTATCATTTAAAATTTTACTATAAAACAGTCATTAAATAAAACAATCAATTTAGCCTTTTACTGCATTGTTGATAAAAACACAAACACATACACACATATTTATTTATACACACATATATTCATTTATCCATTTATTTATTTGTTTGGCTTAGTCCCTTATTTATCAGGGGTTGCCACAGCGGAATGAACCGCCAACTTATCCAGCATGTGTTTTACACAGCGGATGCCCTTCCAGCTGCAACCCAGTACTGGGAAACACCCATACACACTCATGCACACCCATACACTACTGCCATTTTAGTTTCAAGAGTTCACACTGAGCGAGAGGGTGCTCACTGCAGAGCCATTTGAGGAGAGGTGAGCTCCAGAGAGGGGGAGCATGAGCTGTCGCTCCTCCTCCTGTAAGCTGTTTTAATGCGTACACCAACCCCACCCCGAACCCTACCCCCAGTGACATCACTCGTAGAAGAAGTGCAAAAAAGGTGGAGCTCAAGCTTAAGCTCCCCCTCTCTGGAGCACACCTCTCCTCAAATGGCTCTGCAGCGAGCACCACTTGCACTGAGCTGATGATTGATGATAAAGGGTGTTTGGCATGCTGTACCGGGAGAGGGCCCTGAGCTGATAAGATCTTCGAGCCTTAGGCTCCCTCCCCTTTGCAGGGCAAGAGGGGAGTTTGAGCTCAGGTAGATCTTGATGAACTCCCCCCTGACTTATTTCAATTTTTTTTTTCATTCATTTTTAATTTATTAAAAGAAACTATGCGGAATTATATGAACATTGTTTACTTATTGATATATTTTTGTTTAAACCGTGTTTTATGTTGTGTAATAAAGAGTACAATAGCAAAAAAGTAACTATATATAAATTATGATATTTCATAACATTATAGTTGCTTTTACTATTATTTGTTATTTTACTATCTTTTTTTTTTTATGTTTTAATCAACTTGACCAACTAAAAGCCCACACATTTCAGCCACAGTTTTATCATCTGAGATAAATTTGAGAAATCCTAAAAGATTCCTGAAAACCTTGACTAAAATCTGTGATTTTTGATTGCTGGTTTGACATGTCCACAGACAGCCGCTTAAAGTCTGTTGCGATCAGATTTTCCCTCTGATGAAGTTCTGGCAAAGTCATAAGATTTCAGACACTTTCCTGCAGTGTGACAACAGCTGTGATGAACGTCAACCCAAGAACCAAAAATCTGATGACGCAATCCATGCGACAATTCAAATGACCATGGGGAAATGTCAAAACAGTTTTTTTTTCTTCCTGGTTTATTATGAGACATACTGCACCCTATCATACACCTGCCGCAATGTGGCGTAAGTTTCAGCTCGAAGCAAGAGTCATTTTGACGTTTTGCACCACACTGTTTAAATAGCAAATGCATTTGCGCTCATTTGTGCGCCCATAGGCGTTCTGGTCTAAAAAAGGAGGTGTGTTAAGGCGCATTGCTGGTGTGTTGCTATTTTGAGGAACTAAAATAGACTGCACAATAGACAAGCTGAGAGCAGGTCTAAAGTCCAGCACAGAGCGCCTTAGCTGTGTGCCTCGCTTAAACATTGCTTAAGACACACAGGATATACAGTAATACGCAAATATCTTAACAAATGAAAAACAATTAAAGGATTAAAATATTTTTAAAAAATTATTACTTTCTACATAATTATAAAACCACCACCTTCATGCCTCCTTCACGACTTTTTTCAGTTTATTCATGACAGTTTGCTTTTGTATAATGTTATTATTATTTATTTATTAGTTTGCTGGAAATTAGAACTGAATTTAGAAAAAGTTTTGAAACAAATCTTTGCGCTTAACAAACAAAATTAAATATGAAGGGCTAATGGATGTCTGTGCGCACAACATGTTTCCTTATCCACGAAAGAGAGTGAAAGAGAAAGTAAAAATGAGAAGGCTCATCTCTCATTCTCGCACTGTAGATGCTCTGTTTAACTGTTTTCTTACTCATGATCCATTCAGTTTTTCCACTTACAAAGTCCGCCATGTAAATACCAAATGGTCTATGGCGCGATGCAACTGACAATTCAGGACTATAAAAAAAACTAATAAATAAATAAATAGCTATTTTAAAAAACGGCCTTTTGTGAAAATCTGTAAAGATTTTATTAGATTTTTTGATTATTTATATAGTACAATTGCAAAAACATGATGTAAATGACTAAACCTGGATTTTAAAAGTGATTTTCAGAAACCATGATTATTCATTGAGTATCGAAGTGTACACTAGCAAATAAAAATTTGATTTCTAAAATATACTAAAACCAGTGTTTTTTGCAAATGAATTCTTTTAATAAATGCATGCATGGTTCTTGCATCTGTTAAACAGTCAAGCATGCCTAGAAACCACATAAAAAGTCGCATTTCTAATAAGCACGGCCTTAAGATGATCACCTTTAGCCATACGAATCACTTTTTATATACCTCATGCAGTGCACTATGCAAGTTAAAAATACAGCAATCACATATAATGACTATATTTCTATTCTAACCTTTAAGTAACACCTAACAACCGCTGTTTCCATAGCAACACACACCTTGTTGTAGATGTAGCAGTTGGTGAACATGGTGTTAAAGTCCTGCAAGCATTCGCTGGCACCGCGGTAGTAGTTATTTTCCAGTCTCTTCTTGATTGTGCCCATGTCCATCGGCTGCTTAATGATCTTATGATAGTCCTGAAAACACAAAGAAATAGAAGAAGTGGAGATCATACAGCTGGTGTGTGTGTGTGTGTGTGTGTGTGTGTGTGTGTGTGTGTGTGTGTGTGTGTGTGCATATATATTGAGAAGGTCAATGCTCGCAGACATGCTGTCAGACTATTGGTAATATGAGCTGCTCCGTCACAACAGAATGCTTGTATTACTGTAAATATGAAAACAAAATATATATCTCACACAACAGTTCTTGATGAAAATCGTATTAATATGTAGTAGATTTTTTATTTTAAATATATATTTTTAGTTATTACTTTTAGGAATTAGGCATTAGGCATGTGATTAGCCAAAGACAAAAAAGTAGAACACAACACCCCCCAACCCAAAAATAAATAAATAAATAAATAAACAATAAAACAAATAATAATAATAATAATAATAATAATAATAATAATAATAATAATAAATACTACTACTACTACTAATAATAATAATAAATAATGATAATTTAATACATAATTAATAATAATAATAATAATAATAATAAATATAATAATAAAAACAAAAACAACAACAATACTAAATAAAATAATAAATAAATAATAATAACAACAACAATAATAATAATTATAATAATAAAAATAAATATTAATGATAATAAAAATGAATAATAATAATAATAATAATAATAATAATAAATAACAATGATAATAATAATTATAATTATAATAATAACAATAAATAAATTTTAAGTTAAATTTTTTGCTTTATCAGTTTAAATGTTTATCTGTTTAATAGGAACCAAAGTAATATTTGTATGTCTGGTTCTCAAATCTGATTGGCTGATAGTCGTATGATATTCTGCAATAGACTGACAACAGATCAATAAACTCACTAGAGTTTGACAAATATTGCTGCTGTTGGATAACAATGTACTTTTTTAGTTGAGAATGTAGTTGTTTAGATTGTAACTATGCAGTTTATTCATAAGGATAGCGCCTATTTTAAATATTCATAATTTCGAAGATTCAGCGCGTTGTCGGCCATCAACCTGTCAAACTAAACAGAGCAAAGACGGTTGAATTTATTTTTGATGTCTCCTTTGTCTGCCATGATGCATGATTCATAAATGGGAGTGAAGCGACGCAACTGATGCAGGTAGGTCATGTGATAATGACAAATGGTGGCTGTAGTACATACGAGTTCCGTTCATACCAATCACATTAATACTAAATAAAACAAACTTTTCTCGTGGTCAAGTAGTAAATACAAATGTAGTGACTACTAAGTAGTAGGAAATTTCAGACGCAGCCCAGGTCTTTCAGTCTCTGCTAATGCAAATGTTGATCTGAATGAGGTGTGTTTGGTTAAGGAGACATGGAAAATATGCAGAGCTGGTGGTCCTCCAGGACCGTGGTTGAGAAACACTGTGCTAAATGACTAATGTATATGTAAAGCAAACGTTGCACTTACGGGTAAGTTGAGTCGAGTCGCGTCCACAGGCTCATGGAAGGGCCAGGCGAAATGATGGCGCCACAGAGCTTTCACCAGGACCTTGTGAAGGAACTGCAGCTGGTTGGTGGCTCGTCCTTGTCGGCTGGGGTCTCTGACGGGGGGCTGCAGGGGTGGAGGAGGTCCGGGTGGAGGTGCGTGAGGCAGAGATGGACTCTCGAAGCCCTCATAGAGCAGCGAGGGCTTGCGGATACGCTTGCCTGAATTCTGCTCCATCATGGCCATGACAGACAGACCCACTCCCACAGAGCTGCAAAAAAACACATCATGATGAGAAGTTATAATGAACTTCAACTCTGAAATCTGGATTGACACAGTTTCGATTTACTAGAACTTCTATGTTAAGCTGCTTTGACACAATCTACATTGTAAAAGCGCTATAGAAATTAACATGAATTGAATTATATAACATGTATTCCAGACTGTATGTACAATTATATAAAAAAGTATTAAAAAAAACATTACTGTAACTTAAGTTGATTTCACTATATGCTTTTAAAAAGACTATAAAAGTTTTAGAAGTTGAAACCAACCCGGGCTCATTGTGGAAACGTAGCCCAGCGGACGTTTCTGCGGACCGTGATTTACGTCCCGGGAGGTACGTATTCGAGGGTTTTTTGTTTTTTTTTGGCTGCTGTGCGTGCTTTTTCGCCTCTCGGGAGCGCGCGGCGTTCGCTCCCGCGCCTTTCTCGTGCGAAAAGCCGCCGGATCGAAAAAAAAAAAAAAAAGCAAAAGCCCTCGTCTTCGATTTCGACCGCGTTTTCGGATCCCGCCGCGTTCTCGCCCTTATTTTTCGGATTCCGTTTTTTCGTCTTACCTGATTTCCGGAACCTGCTGTTCCCCGGACTCGATCCCGGTCGTCGTCCACCGCGGCCGGCTCTGGCTCCTCCTCCTCCTCCGGGGCCTCCGCTTCGCCGACGCAACGCTGTGAGCTAAGCGGACAAACTGATTCCGTCGGGAAAGCCCTCCACTCGGAGGCGAGCCGTCGGCCGGCGAGCGCGAAGAGGAGGGGCGGAGCGGCGCCACACTGCCCCGCAGCGTTCGCTCGAAAAAAAACAAACGCGGCCTTTACGTACCTCCGGCCACGTAAATCGCGGTCTCCAGAAACGTCCGCGGGGCTACGTTTCCAGAATGAGCTTGGGTTGGTTGAAACACAGGTTTGTAGATGTTTTGAATAGTTGTCGTGTGATTCATGTTAACTTTAAATTGTTTTTTGTTTGTTGTCTGTTGGACTTACGTGACTTGTTTACTGCCTAATCTTGGCCAGGACGCTCTTGTAAAAGAGATTTTTAATCTCAATGTGTCTTTCCTGGTAAAATAAAGGTTATAATAATAATAATAATAATAATAATAACTACATAAGTATCTTATCCCAATCTTATCCAATGTACAATAGCACAACTGTATTGGTTATGAGCATATAAGCAGGTAGCAATTGATGTGCTGGTTGTTTAATGTTAAAAATAATATTATTGGACATTGAGACTCAGTAAAAAATGCCATTAATTGTCATTTTAAATCTTTATGCTTTGCCACTATCTTTTGAAAAAATAGGTTTTGCCAGTAAAAAAAAAAGCTATTTAAAATTTAATAAAATTCACCATGGACATCTTTTTAGATAGTTTAAGTACAAGTTAGAATAAATTGTTTCATCTTCTCATCAATAAATAATCTACTAAGTGTGGGATATTATTTAAGTTTTAACCCATATTTTGGCCTTTGTTTTTTTACACAAAGTTTCTTGATTAAACATTTATGTACTGAGAAAAAAAAAAGTATAAATAAAAATTAATCTTACATTTTATTTGATCCATACACCAAAATGTTCAACAGTTATATTTACTATATTAATTAATTTTAAGTTTTTTATTAATTATTATTTTCTATTTTAATATGTTCATTTATTTTTGAGAAGGCAAAGCTAAATATTAATTTACTGCACCTTTTAATGCTTTCATAAAAGTAAAAAAAACAGTATATGTTTTAATAAAAATTATTGCATTTTAAACCTATATCTAGTTACACTATTATTATTAATTTTTCAGAAAAAAATAATATAAGAATGTGTAATAACCAGTGTTAGGGACTAACTAGTTACATGTAATGGCGTTACATAATTTAATTACAAAATTAAAGTAACAGTAATTCATTACAGTCACTGAGAAAGAAAAATGTGTAGTTAAATTACAGTTACTTGTGAAAATGTTAAAGATTACAAATGGGGTTACATCTAAAAATGTTCTTTAAAAATCTGGGATATGTTGAATAATATTAATTTGTTGCTTTGCTTGTTTTTGATGTGCATGATGCCTTCTGCTAAGGCCATTTATTAAAGTGGTGCTATTCTGAAGCTTTTGATTTGCGGCGCACACACGGGCATAAATACCGCGGGGAACATGTCCTCAGTATAAATACTTGAAAATGATTGAGTTGAAAATGTCCATTAGAAACTTAAAAGTAATAAAAAAGTAATCAAATGTAATTGGTTACTTTTATAAAATAATCAAAAAGTATTATAACCTATTACGTTTTAAATAGGGTCATTTGTAATCTGTACATTTCCAAAGTAACCTCCCCAACACTGGTAATAACATAGCACCTTTTCTGTTTTTTCATGTTACAAAAAAATGCTCAAAATTATAAAATTTTATTTTTCTTGTAAAAGTAAAAAGCTTTTATTTAAAATGTGCATTTAATTGCATTTAAAATGATTTATTAAAATACTTTAACTGTTTAATTAATAAAACATAATGAAATAAACTGTTATAAAATTGTCTATTTAGTTATACATTTAAAAATGATTTACATGCATAGTTTCATTGCTTTATTAATGGCATTTAAAAACACTATTTAAACAGACAAAATATGTCTATTTATTTACCCATAATTTGCTCATTTAAATTGTGATTTATTTATGTACATTTGTTTGCTTCAGATATTAAATGGATCACTTGATTCTTCATTTTATTTCTAACTGGCACTTTCATCTCATCCATACTTTTAAACCCTAAAGCAACTTAATAAACATTTTCTAACGCCAAAATATCACTAATATGTTTACCATTAGAGCCATTCCGATTGGTTACTTCAATTACAACACAAATAAACAATACAGAAATGCATAAAATGATCACTGACACATTAATTCAGCACACACCTCATCGTATTAGAGAAACTGTGGTGCATAAGCGGAAAAACTAATCATCAGTTTACTCTAAATTATAATTTAGGTAAAGTTAAGGTTTTATATTCGCACATTCATTCAGTGACAACTTGTCACACGCTTCCTATATTGTTTACCATGTTACTTTGAATATTCGTTCTGAAATCACACGCAAATATGACTTCAAAACAACATCAGCACTGTATTTAATTGCCTGAGAACAATGTTGTTCTCTTTGACAGTCATTGGCTGTAAATATGATTCCACTATTTAGAATTAGCAAACAACACTTTCTGAAATAGTTTTAAGGAGAAAGTCTGAATGAATGCTCTAAATGACAAAATTTGCATTTTAAATATGGAAGAAGTCATCCACAGAATTAAACAAACAATTATTTTACTTCTAGATACTAACACACATCTACATGCTAACATAAAACACTTTAATGTTCTCATAAACGTTAAAAGGTCTCATTTTCCCCCAAAAGCATTCATTTAAAATGTGCATTTGAATGCATTTAAAATCATTGAATAATATACTTTTTAACCATTTGATTAATCAGCGTTTTAAAACATGAATTAAATGTATAAAATTGTCTATTTATTTATGCATTTAAAATGTATTTTACATGCATTATTTTATTGCTTTTATTTGATTGATTTGTTAATTTACATTTGTTTGCTTCAGTTATTAAATTGAAAATTTGATTCTTCAATGTATTTCTAACTGGCACTTCCATCTCATCCACACTTTTAAACCCTAAAGCAACTTCATAAGCATTTTTAATGGCAAAACATCACTAATATGTTTACCATTAGACCCATCCTGATTGGTTACTTCCATTAGAAGGCAACTAAACAATACAGAATTGCAATAAATGATCACAGACACATTAATTCGACACACACCTCATAGCATTCGAGAAACTGTGGTGCATAAGCGGAAAAACTAATCATCACTATACTGTAAATTATACTGTAGCAGATAACGCTGCATGTCATGGAGTCTGTCCCGCCTATTCTGTTTGTAAACAAGCATTCAGAGCGTTTATAGCCAATGAGCAGCAGCCAGAGAACACATGAATCATCCAGCACAAACACACACTTCATTCATTTACACACTTCTGCAATTTACTGCATGCACAAACACACACACATACATGCAGCACACTGACATACCGTTACGTCTGACAGCTACACGATGTAAACAGTTGTACACTTGACATACTTCCGAGCCAAAAACAGACACTGCGTCAATTTAAACACCGAGTAAACATTAACCTTAGTATATTTTCTGTTAGTAAATCATATTTAATCATGAACTGTTACCATGGTGAATGTGTAAGGTACTGTCTAGCCATTTAAATGCTGAAGATGGCGGAGGGAAATGATGCAGTACAGACCAATATCACACTGATGCTCGCTGCATGCTGCTATTTTAATCTCTGGAAGTCGTTTAAACAGGAATAAAGCCGTTTTAACATCCACTGCGAGTTGCGTTGCTGCCTAATGGCGGAATATGCACTTGTAAACAAACGCTTGCTTCCATTTACTTCATCCTTTGTGATTATAGCCACACGCAGGATTAGTTTACAGGCTCCGAAGGATCGACAATACTACCTGTCAAAAGACTGGTTGATGGCCGCCTCCATCCGGATGTATCGCGCGCGCTTTGCGGTGCGAAATCCTGCGTTTTCGCCCCCGTTTTATTGCTATTCTGCACCTTATGCTCGAGCTCACCCTGCGCCGTCCAAAGAGCAAATGGCGCCTTTCGATTTCCGCTCCGGGGTTTTTATATAAGACTGCCACTGACCAATCAGAATTCGTCCCGCCTCTGGAACTGGTTTCTTATTGGTTCGTTTTTTCGTCTTTCCAGTGTTAAACACGCCCAGCGCAGCTTGAGGAGAGTTCATGTGTGACTCACGGTCACCATCTAGTGAGGATCTTGTGAGGAGGACGGTAAAGTAGAAAGAAAGTCACCGAAAATAAACGCTTACATTTATTAAATATAATTATATGGCAAGCCGTTTTAATATTTAATCTACAAACATAGTCATATATTTTCCATTAAGTGTTAGTAGTCACTGGTTCGAGCCCCGGCTAGGTCAGTTGGCGTTTCATATTCGTATGTGTAAAACATATGCTGGATAAGTTGGTGGTTCATTCAGTGGTGGAAACCCCTGATTAAGAAACTAAGTGAAGGATAATGAATGGAAAAATGTTACTTATTCATGAGCAACTATAGTGCTAATTCATTATGGTGCTTATGCGTTAGGTAGCCGACTTGTACCACTTAAACAATACAATCATTATTTTTTATTAAAAGTTTTAAAAAAGCAGCTATTTTTATGAATGCATATAAATACATTTAAATATGAGAGAATTACAACATGAACAGATACAAATAAAATGTTTACATACTTATATCCACGTACAAATACTGAATGTATTTTGTATTGTGCAAATTAATCAGTAAACAGTTTTGAATCGATTTGGTGTCTCCGTATTTTATTTTGTATATTTTTTATATTTGATGGCGTGTTTTTTGCTAATAAATTATATATAATAAAATATAAATTTTGCTAATAATATATATATATATATATATTGATAAATATATATTAATGAATATTTATTAGGTAGTCTGTACCTTTTTGAACATACAGTCCTTATTTGTTAAATACAATCTTTATTTTTAATTGAAAGTTTCAAAAAGCAGACATTTTTACAAATGCATGTAAAAAATTTAAATATACGTGAAAATACAACATGAACAGATACAAATAAAATATACGTTTTTTACACAAATAAATAAAAAATATTTAAATGTATTTTATATTTTGCAAATTAATCAGTAAACAGTTTTGAATTGATTTGGTGTCTCCGTATTTAATTTTTTATTTTTGACATTTGATATATATATTTTTGGAAAATGTTATAGTAAATTAAACGTTAGTACTAATTCATAAGCTATTAATGTGTATTCATGGTCTACCTGTACCTTTTTAAAAAATACAATCCTTTTTTTAACTAGAACTTACAAAAAGCAGCCTTATATATATATATATATATATATATATATATATATATATATATATATATAAGGCTTATATATATATATATATAACTTATATATAAGTTATATATATATAACTTATATATATATATAAGTACAAATACAGCAAATACAGCATGAACAGATATAAATATGTTTACATACACATATATTAAAGTAATAAATATTAAAAGTTGTTGCATATTATGCAAATTAATCAGTAAACCGTTTTAAATCAATTTGGTGTCTCCGTATTTTATTTTGTATATTTTTGACTTTTGATGGCTTGTTTTTCGCTAATATTTATTTTCAATGTATATATTTGTTAATAATGTCATATTAAACTTAGTGCTAATAATGCTTTATTCATACTTGTACCTTATTAAACAATTCAATCATTATTTATTATTAGTCATTAGTTTTTATTTCTTAGCTGCTACCCATTAAACAGACACTACTTATTTACTAGATACTAGTACTTATTTTTTAATTGAATACTAGCACTCATTTGTTTCATACTGATACATATTAAGTAGATACTAGTGTTTAATTATAATATATTATAATACTTATTTTAATATTGACATATTCGTGACAAGTTATACATTTCTAATTTTTGACATTGTCTTCTATGCAGATCCGAGCCTCCAAGTTTCATAGTCATAGGCAATAATTTGCACTACAAACCTTCAATTATCTTGACTATTTTTAAAGGACTAAAATAAGCAATATAAAGAGTTCCATAATGTGCTAAAGAAAAGTAGTACAAGCTAAAATATTCATAAATTACATAAAAATAAAACGCATAACATGTCAATGTTATTTAAAATCGACATCAAGCTTTGAAGAACGCAAACAAATGATCTATTAAAGCATACAATAATAAAATAAACACTATAAAACTCTGTTTATTTACAGCATGAATATCAACCACAGAAAAAAAGCGAAAAGTTATTTAAAATAACTTTATTATTGCTTTGCATAGAGCTACCTTTGTAGGAGCAAAGCAATGGTTCAGACCAAAAATACCATAACCATGCAAAAGTACATAATCATTAAACCCCTTGCTGGGAAAAGCTTAAAACATGTGATTTAGTGGGCATATAATACATTTCTGATGGATCCCTCTGCATACTGTTTATATTTTTCCTGTCTCATATGAAAGAAACTTCCATTGAACTGCAAATAATCAGTGAAGCATTTGTTTTTAAAGTGTGTACAATGAAATGACATTATTCTCCTCATGCAATATTGAAGGCAAACTTATTACAATCAACAAATTACACTAAGCAGACCATAAATAACCCCACAAGATTTTCAAAGCAATATTACAGACATATATTTGAATATTACTGTACTGTATAGGCAATATAAAGAGGAAATATTATATTAAGTGGCCTCAACTAATATGTACTTAAGTACACTAATAATTGTACTTATTGTGTAAATACATGTTATTACCGACCCATAATCACACATGAAGTGCTCTGCAAAACATTATGAACACAGTAAGTACATTGTATTTATTTTTTTATATTAAGGCCATTTAATATGAAGAGGCACCAATCATAACCCAGGCTTATTGCGGATACGTACCCAGGTCTACATTTCTGGGGAGAGCGAAATACGTAACGTCTGCTCACAGTTTTCGTTCCTGCAATTCCACCAGAAGCCGCTGTGTACGCTTATTGATGATCTCAGATTCCTCTTCTCGCATAAATCCACCAGAGGGCGCAAAATACACTTCAGGTGACCAGGCCAGCTTGCTAATGACTGACTGACCCACCCTCTCCTTCCCTTAACTCAACCGATAGTGTTTTCAAAAGCAATCTAGAAAAAGACAAGCAGTTCATTTCACCACGTGTGATTTCACCACGTTTTCAGCCACATATTTATTTATTTATTTTTTGCTTTTGTTTTAGCTGGTTTCTGGAACCGTTCTTCGCTGGATTTGAACCCCGTTGTCGCGGTCAACTCCGCTCCGCATCCCGAATCTGCCGACTTACAAAGTGAGCTACTGGACAAACTGGTAACACAAGAAAAGCTGTTCAAACAAAGGTAACCAGTCAGCTAATAGCTCGAAAAGGAACAGAAGCCATCGACGACGTCATACCACCTCCATAACCCATATTTCCACTGCAACCATCATTTATACATGACGGTCGGAATACGCCCCCTTGTGGCAGTCGCACAAAATTTTCAGTTCTGACGTGCACCATGGGAGGGAAGCTGATCTCGAAATGTCCGAAATAAAGTAGTGCAAAAGCAAGAGCCAGTATTCTCTCTGCGTTCACAGTGGTTGAATGGATGAATGAATTCTAGAAATTCATAGACCACTAAAAATATTGGAGGGAAAGTGGAGACATCAAAAAAATTAACAACAATTAGCAATAAAAATAACCAATAAATTTCCTATTTCTCATCTCGCACGCATGGACGTCCTTGTACAACACTGGAATACATCATATCCGGTTGGCCGATCGATACGGTCTAGTCGCAGGAGTTCAATTATTTCAACGGATCCGCAGCTCAATTCGGATTCGAATTGTCTGCATACGGAGATGATCGGAACTTTACGCAGCTCACGGACTACTCTCCATTGGAAATGAATAACTTTCGGTCTGTCGCTTGTCGTGTGCAGAGGACAGGAGGCTATAGCGTTCATTTAAAGGTGAAAGACAAAAATGTAGACAGGGGTACGTATCCACAATGAGCCTGTGTTAAAGCATAACAATGTTTTCATGACGGATTAAAGTAAAGCACTAAGGGTTACTCGTTTATGAATTACTCGAAGCACATCCCTGAGACGATTTTTAACTTCCTGGTCAGACCCTTCGATAATTATTCAACACTTTTTAAACTGTCTAGTAGTAATGAAACAAAGACTTTTGATGTCTGTCATGTATACAAATGTTACTTTAATATTTTGTGTATTTTTAATTATTCAGTGAGGATTGCGTGTTAGATGCCATCTTGTGGTCAGATGCGGACATTTTTTTGGCACGCAAACTGCCACAGTGCATTGAGGGGATTTGTCTAGCTGTGAGTGTACATGGGCTGTATATGGGATCGTACTGTGGTCGCAGATCGAAAAATGGTAAGAACAAATCAAAAAACTGACATCGAGCATAAAATTATAACGTGCAGAGGCAAAAACTAAATCGCACAAGACGAAACAAAGAGGTTACATATCAAAAAATGAGCAAATCAAAAACTAAAATTAGAAATACATAGCTTAAACCTGAATTGATTAAATGCCTGCAGGTAATCACATCTGTAATTAATTTTTGTAATCACATCCTTAATTACACAGTTTTCCATCCCTTATACCTTAACCCAGCTCTAAACCTACCCATACCACCAAACCTGTTCCCAACCCATGATCTGCAATACATTATGAACACAGTAAGTGCGCTGTATTCATTTTCTGATGCAAGTACATAGAAGCTAAGGCCACTTAATATAAAGTGAGAACAAAAACAACATTGTTTTCACGATTTAGTAAAGCACTAAGGATTACTTGTATAGATTATTTGAAGCACGTCCCTGAGACAGGCTAATGTCTAGAAGAGATACAGCTGCGTCATCAATATAGCTTAATTTTTGTGACACTAAGTCAACAATACAACAATAAGTAATATTTTTACATTACTGTGAGAGTAGCGTTCAGTTTCGGGGTAGGCATTAATAAAATATACTTGAATGGGTAATTAAATAAATAATATGAATAATACTCTGTATAATTACTGTTTTACATTACTGTGATGGTTGGGTTTAGGTTTAGGGTAGGGATAGATGTTAATAAAATACAATTTAATGTGTAATTTCGTAAATAATAGGAATAATTATCATTAAAACTAAAAGCTAAAACTACTTACCACCAAACCTGTCCCTAACCGTTTCATAATCGTACCACATTTTTGATTGCCGCTCATTATTTTTCAGTACGTGACCTCATTGTGTCTGTTTCTGCATTAAGTTTTTGCCTTTGCAAGTTATAAATTTACATGCGAGAGCGCGCACCCTTATGGATAGGGTGAGGAGATCTGTCACCTGGGAGGAGCTGGGAGTAGAGCTACTGCTCCTAAACATTAAAAGAAGTCACCTGAGGTGGCTCGGGCATCTGTTTTGCATGCCTCCTGGACGCCTACCTAGGGAGGTGTTCCAGACATATCTTACCAGGAGGAGGCATTGGACTATGTCTCTTGGCTGGCCTGGGAACCCCTTGGAATCCCCCTATAGGAGCTGAAGGAAGTGACAGGGGAGAGGGAAGTCTGGGGTTCTCTTCTGAGACTGCTGCCCCCGCGACCCGACTCCGAATAAAGAAAATAAATGAGTTAATTTTTCGATCTGCCACCGCGATACATTTGGCTGGATTTTATTCCCGTAGACTCAATATGTCTGTGCATTTTGGACTTGATTGAGTACTTGACTGAGCTTCATAATGTCCACTTTGGTTTCGGACGTGCTGCTACGCTCAAATAGTGCACATTAATATGAATTAGGATCAATAAGTCCCATTTTCATATACAATAAGTCATATTTTTTACAAACATATTCACTAAAAATATATGCAAATGCTACATTTTTAATAAACTAGTTTTTAAAGTTGGAAGTATAGAAAGAAATAGATATATAGACAAAATAATTAGCTCTTAAATTCACTTTCATTAGCCTCTATTATTTTGTTTTTCCGAATGCTACAATGCTGTTCAGTTACTTGCATGATTAATGTATGTTTAACCTAGTTAAGTCTTTAAATATTACTTTAAGCTGAGTACTAGTATCTTGAAAAATATCTAGTCAAATATTATTTACTGTCATCATGGCAAAGACAAATGAAAGGAGTTATTACAAATAAGTTAATTAGTTTAAAATCTTCGGTGTTCCACAGCACTTAAACTAAATGTAAACTAAAAATAATTTAGATTTCACAGGAGGGCAAATGCAGTTGTATTTTAGTGAGATTGCTTTACTGATATGTACACCTAATTTAAAAACACTAGTGTAAAAACTAACAGCAGAAATACAGATGAAGTCAGAATTATTAGCCCTCCTGTGATTTTTTTTTTTTCTAATATTTCCTGAATGATGTTCCTGAATACTGGCGTCTTGAAAATATCTAGTAAAATATGATGTGTCATCATGGCAAAGATAAAAGAAATCATCATTCATTGGGCCCTATCATACACCTGGTGTAATGAAAATAGCAATACATCGGGCAAATAATAATAAGGCGCAAGACGTGATTGCCCGATGTGTTGCTATTTTCAGACTAGCTCAACCATAATTTTCACGTTTTCCGCCACGTGGTTTAAACAGCAAATCCATTTGCGCCACTTTGTGGACTCATGGGTGTGCTGGTCTAGAAAAGAGGTGTGTTAAGGCGCATTGTTGGTGTGTTGTTATTTTGAGAAACTAAAATAGACTGTTCAATAGACCAGAGAGCAGGTCTACAGTCCAGCGCAGAGACGTTTAGTTGTGCGTCTCACTTACTCATTGCTTATTACACACAGGACGCACAGCAATCCACAAATATATTTACAAATAAAAGAGAATTAAAGGATTAAAATATTACACAAATTATTATTTTCGACAGAAATATAAAAACCACTGCCTCCATGCCTTCTTCATCGCGGGGGCCTTTTTCAGTTTAATCATGACCATTTTCATTTGTATGATGTTATTATTACTAGCAGTATTATTTATTATAAGCATATTTATATTTGCTTTATTAAAAACAAGCTTAGATTTGTCCATCTATCAGATTTTAAACTATATGGGACAAAAGAATAGGACGTGTGTTTGGATATACTGTAACTCAGTTTTTTGACCACACTTCGTTATTGTTGTTTATTCCTTTGCAGTAAATTAGAACTGAATTTAGAAATAGAAAAAAAATGTAAACAAATCTTTGCGCTTAACCTAAATTGAAAATGTAGGCTAATGGATGTCTATAGTGAAGTGCGTACATCACCGTTTCTTTATCCACAAAAAAAGAGAAAGAGAAAAAGAAAGTAAAGATGGTCAAAGAAAGAGGCTCGTATTTTATTCTCACGCTGCAGATACTGTTTAACCATTTTCTGAAGCGTTCAGTTTTTCCACTTACAAAGTCCACCATGTAAATAGCAAATGGCCATGGACTCTTAAAGGGAATAAGAGATGAGACTCTGACTGGTTTATTCTCAAAACATACCCATAACTCATTAAGAGAATAAACACAACCCTGTTAGACCATGCACCGTGGTGCAGAGCGTATTTTTCTGTCTCTAATAGCAAAAGTGGATTCTGACACACCACTAATGCTTTTGTGCCATGCACTATAGACTTTGTGCCTAGATCATTAACATAGAACCCATTATGTTAAAAACCTTCACCGTTAAACAGAACTTCAACAAAACAAATTATGATAATAATTTAAATTTCACAGGAGGGCAAATGCAGTTGTATTTTAGTGAGATTGCTTTACTGATATGTACACCTAATTTAAAAACTCTAGCGTAAAAACGAACAGCAGAAATACAGATGAAGTCAGACTTATTAGCCCTCCTGTGATTTTTTTTTTTTCTTTAATAAATATTTCCCAAATTATGTTTAACAGATTCAGGAAATTTTCACAGTATTTCCTATAATATTTTTTCTTCTGGAGAAAGTCTTATTTGAATTATTTCGGCTAGAGTAAAAGCAGTTATTAATTTTTTAAAAACAATTTTAAGGTCAAAATGATTAGCCCCTTTAAGCATTTTTTTTCCGATAGTCTCCAGAACAATCCACCATTATACAATAACTTGCCTAATTACCCTAACCTGCCTAGTTAACCTAATTAACCTAGTTAAGCCTTTAATTGTCACTTTAAGCTGTATAGAAGTGTATTGAAGAATATCTAGTCAAATATTATTTACTGTCATCATGGCAAAGATAAAATAAATCAGTTATTAGAAATGAGTTATGTAAATTATGTTTATTATGTTTAGAAATGGGTTGCAAATATCTTCTTTCCGTTAAACAGAAAATAGGGAAAAATATACAGGAGAGCTGTTAATTCTGACTTCAATTGTATATACTAATGGCGAATAAACAGTGTGATGTGATTTCAGGACAGCAGAGACTGATTGCAGATGTTCATCACTGGCTGCTGTTTGTACCGTTGTCTGCATTGCGATGGATGGCTGTGTTCTGCTGTTTGACGAACTCAGCGTAGAATCCCTGTTTGTCCAGCAGCTGCTGATGGTTTCCCTCCTCCACCAGCTCTCCTTCCCGGAGGAAGAGGATGTGGTCTGCGTTTTCCACTCCGCTCAGTCTGTGGGAGATGAGCAGAACCGTGCAGCTCTGCAGCTCCTTCTTCAGAGCGCTGTACACCTGAACACACATTACACTTGACATTACATTCAGAATAGAAGTTCAGCAAAGCACTTTAACATATGTTTGCGTTAGATTGTTTTTTGTTTTCAGAATAACCATTTAGGCTCAGCGGTAAACACTGTCGCCTCTCAGCAAGAAGGTCGCTGGTTCGAGTCCCGGCTGAGTCAGTTGGCATTTCTTCGTGGAGTTTGCATGTTCTCCCCATGTTGGCATGGGTATATAAGTGAATGGAATAAACTAAATTGGCCGTAGTGGATGTGTGTGAATGAGAGTGTATGGGTGTGTCCCAGTACTGGGTTGCAGCTGGAAGGGCATTCTCTGTGTAAAACATATGCTGGATAAGTTGGTGGTTCATTCCGCTGTGGCCACGCCTAAAGTATAAAGGGACTAAGCCGAAGGAAAATGAATGAATGAATGACTATTTACAATGGCAAAATAAATTAGAAATGAAAATGAAAACGTATAAATACATGTAGGATAATGCTCAAAAAATAAAGGGAACACTAAAATAATATTATTCAAAATAATAATATTCAAAGCAGCCATTTTTAGCAAATATTATATTAAATTATGTCATATGATGTAAATTGTTCATTACAGTTTTAACGGAACAGAATGAACTGAACTTATTACTACTAAAGTTTCAATTACAGATAAATCTTTCGATCAAACATGAATTTAAAAGATTGTTTAATACACACAGGACGCACATCAGTCCGCAAATATATTTACAAATAAAAAGAATAAAAGGATTAAAATATTACACAAATTATTATTTTCGACATAAATATAAAAACCACTGCCTCCATGCCTTCTTCATCGCGAGAGGCCTTTTTCAGTTTATTCATGACCATGTATGATGTTATTATTACTAGCAGTATTATTTATTATAAGCATATTTATATTTGCTTTATTAAAAACAAGCTTAGATTTGTCCATCTATCAGATTTTGCACTATATGGAACAAAAGAATAGGACGTGTGTTTGGATATACTGTAACTCAGTCTTTGACCACACTTCGTTATTGTTGTTTATTCCTTTGCAGTAAATTAGAACTGAATTTAGAAATAGAAATAGGCATTCTCTGTGTAAAACATATGCTATATAAATTATACATAACACATAAATTATGTCATATGATGTAAATTGTTCATTACAGTTTTAACGGAACAGAATGAACTGAACTTATTACTACTAAAGTTTCAATTACAGATAAATCTTTCGATCAAACATGAATTTAAAAGATTGTTTTGGTGGCTCATCTTACCCGGTGTTCACTCTCAGTGTCCAGTGAACTGGTGGCATCATCAAGCACCAGAATCTGGGGTTTCTGGATCAGAGCTCTGGCAATGGCGATTCGCTGTTTCTGACCTCCAGACACCTGACCGCCCTTCTCTCCAGCATCTGACACACACAAATCGCAATCACAATCCATCAAAAATTAGTTATTCAAACTATAAAGTGTATATATATATATATATATATATATATATATATATATATATATATAGGGGTGATAATTCAGGAGGGTTAAAAAATCTAACTATTAGTTAACTAACTATAAGGTTAATCCTAACCCTAACTGTATATTCAAATACCAACCAGTATCGTATCCTTTAGGTAAACTGGAAATGAAGTCATGTGCATTGGCCAGCCTGGCAGCAGCATATATTTCTTCATTTGTGGCGTTTTCTTTGCCGTATTTGATGTTTTCACGCACTGAGCGAGCAAACAGAACCGGCTCCTGTGAAACCACACTAATCTGAAATAGAAAAGAGCAAACAAACCCTGTCAGGCATCTTTATTAATATTCATCATATGCAGATATCAGTATGAACCATTTTCACAAGACTGTTAGGACGCATTTAATGATCATCAGCACCTTAAATTCTTAAAAGTTTGTAACAATTATATTTTTTTCATGTACAGAATTATTAGATAGTTAAAAAATCTTTTCTCTGTCAGGATTTTTATAATCACAATAGTTTTATTAACTCATTTCTAATAACTGATTTATTTTTATATTTGCCATGATGACAGTAAATAATATTTGACTAGATATTTTTCAAGATACCAGTATTCAGCCTAAAGTGACATTTAAAGGCTTAACTAGGCTGATTAGGCAAGTTGGGGTAATCAGGCAAATCATTGTATAACAGTGGTTTGTTCTTTAGACAATCGAAATAAATATAGCTTAAAGGGGCTAATAATTTTGACCTTAAATGGTGTTTAAAAATATCTGCTTTTATTCTAGTCGAAATAAAACAAATAAGACTTTCTCCAGAAGAAAAAAATATTATCAGAAATACTGTAAAAATGTACTTGCTCTGTTAAAGATCATTTGAAATACATTTGAAAAAGAATAAGTATTTCACAGGAGGGCTAATAATATTGCCCTCAAATGCATGTACATTCTAAAGTTATCTTTTTTATTATATCTATTTTATTATATATTATACAAGGTTTTTTTTCTTCACTCCCATCAGGTGAAGTTTTTTTTCCCTCTCCGCTGTCGCCACTGCCTCGCATGGTTCAGGATTGGTAGAGCTACGCATCGATGAATTGGCTCTTCAGTGTTTGAACTCTCGGTAATGATTAAATCACACTGAACTGAGCTAAACTGAACTGAACTGAACTTAAACACTAAAACCTGAACCACACTGTTCCAGTTACTATGACCATTTATGTGAAGCTGCTTTGACACAATCTACATTGTAAAAGCGCTATACAAATAAAGCTAAATTGAATTGAATTGAATATCATATTTGCATCAAATTACAAAAATACAATAATTAGAGCTGATGTGAGAAGTTTCTAATGCAGACTCTATAGGGGGGACAGTAAATTTGGAGTTGCTTTTGCTTCTTTCTGCCGTATTTGAGCAAATAAGAATGTAAAAATGTATTTGTTGTACTCTCGCATTTACTGCCCTCTAAGTTTACCCAACTATGGTGTCTTCCATTGTTGAGAAATTGTTGGATTACCTTCTCGTGCAGATATTGGTCCTTATAGCTCAGCAGTGGCTTCTGGTCCAATAAAATCTCTCCGTTTTGAGGCTGGTAAAATCTCTCCAGCAAACTCACAACTGTGGTTTTTCCAGAACCCGATGGACCCACGAGTGCTGTGATCTTGCCCGCTTTCAGCTCAAGAGAAACGTTCTACAATGACCAACAACAAATCATTTTAAGTAAAAAAATACTGTAATTTATCATAGCATTATGCAGTGCATCCGGAAAAGTCTTCATAGCGCTTCACTTTTACCACATTTTTATGTTACAGCCTTATTCCAAAATGCATTAAATTCCTTTATTACCTCAAATTTTACCCACAATACCCCATAATGACAATGTGAAAAAGAGTTTTTGAAATTGCTTATTTATTACAAATAAAAAAGCTGAAAAAAAAAATCACGTGTACATCAGTATTCACAGCCTTTGCTGTGAAGCTCTAAATTGAGCTCATGTACATTCTGTTTCCACTGACCATTCTCAAAATGTTTCAGCAAACAGGTGATTGGACATGATTTAAAAAGGCATACACCTGTCTATATAAGCTCCCAGGGTTGACAGTGCATGTCAAAGCACAAACCAAGCATGAAGACAAAGGAATTGTCTGTAGACCTCAGAGACAGGATTGTCTCGAGACACAAGGCTGGGGGGGAGGGTTACAGAAGAATTTCTGCTGCTCTGAAAGTTTCAATGAGCACAGCGGCCTCCATCATGCGAAAGTGGAAGATGTTTGGAACCACAAGGACTCTTCCTAGAGCTGGCCGGCCATCTAAGCTGAGTGATCGGGGGAAAAGGGCCTTAGTCAGGGAGGTGATCAATAACCCGATGGTCACGCTGTCTGAGCTCCAGCGTTCTTCTGTGTAGAGAGGAGAACCTTACAGAAGGACAACCATCTGTGCTGCAATCCACCAATCAGACCTGTAGAGTGGCTAGACGGAAGCCACTCCCCCGCCTGGATTATGCTAAAAGGCATTTGAAGGACTCTCAGACTATAAGAAACTAAATTCTCTGGTCTGATGAGACTAAAATTTAACTCTTTGGAGTAAATGCCAGGCGTTACATTTGGGGAAAGCCAGGCACCGCTCATCACCAGGCTAATACCATCCCTACATGGTGGTGGCAGCATCATGCTGTGGGGATGTTCTTCAGCAGCAGGAACTGGAAGACTAGCCAGGATAGAGGGAAAGATGAATGCAGCAATGTGCAGAGACATCCTGAATAAAAACCTGCTTCAGAGAGCTCTTGACCTCAGGCTGGGGCGTTGGTTCGACTTTCAGCAGAACAATGACCCAAAGCACACCGCCAAAACATCAATGGAGTGCCTTCACTACAACTCGGTGAATGTCCTTGAGTGGCCCAGCCAGAGCCCAGACCTAAATCCTATTGAACATCTCTGGAGAGATCTGAACATGGCTGTGCACCATCGCTTCCCATCCAACCTGATAGAGCTTGAGGGGTACTGCAAAAAGGAATGGGCCAAAATTCCCAAAGACGGGTGTGCCAAGCTTGTGGCATCATATTTAAAAAGACTTGAGGCTGTAATTGCTGCCAAAGGTGCATCAACAAAGTATTGAGCAAAGGCTGTAAATACTTCTGTAAATGTGATTTTTCAGCTTTTTTATTCTTAATAAATTTGCAACAACTAAAAAAAACTGTTTTCACATAGTCTTTGTGGGGTTTTGTGTGTAAAATTATGAGGTAATAAATGAATTTAATTCATTTTGCAATAAGGCTGTAACATAAAAACATGTGGAAAAAAAGTGCTATGAAGACTTTCCGGATGCACTGCAAAAGGAGAATGTCAATCAAAGTGTTTCTACAGACTATTTTTATCAAGTGTGAATTAAAAAAAAATACAATTTATTTATTTTCAACATTAGAGTCTGGCTATATTCACACACTGCGGCCACATAACTGTGTTTAAACCCCATAATATGTCCCCCTTAACCCTCTATTAAAGGCACGCTGTTAATAGTAATTTCATGGACACTATAAAATAAGGTGTTGCCAACATTTTCTACTTATTCTTTTCAGTTCATACCTTCAGCACATCTGTGTCCGGACGCTTTGGATAAGCAAATGTGACATTTCTGAACTGCACGTGTCCTTTTAGAGTCTTCGGAGCGAGTGATCCATCTGGAGGAACATCAGGCTTTCTGTCCACATACTCAAAGATCTTTTCTGAAGCTCCGACTGCTTTCTTTACATGTGGCCAGTAAGACATCAGAACCTGTGCATTGATTTAATACATATATAAGTGACGCTTTCCATGCAAACATCACCACAACAATGTTATGATATTTTTTTTTTTAGATTTTTTTTCTGGTCAAACAGAGAGTATTCAAAGTTTTACCTCCACAGCTGATGTGAACTGAAGCTCGTAGAGGACAAAGGACACCAGATCACCACTGCTGACATCACTTCCTGTCACAAGCCGTCCTCCGTAGTATAAAATACTGACCTTCAAAGCCAGACTGGACATCTGAAAAAGGCACATTTGATTACAAACTGCAACTATATTAGTGTACAATGTTTATACACTCACTGGTCACTTTATTAGGTACACCTGTCCAACTGCTTGTTATTGCACATTTCTAATCAGCCAATCAAATGGCATCAACTTAATGCATTTAGGCACGTAGACATGTTTAAGACAATCTGCTGCAGTTCAAACAGAGCATCAGAATGGGGAGGACAGATGATTTAAGTGACTTTGAATGTGGCGTTGTTGGTGCCAGACAGCTGATCTGAGTATTTCAGAAACAGCTGATTTACTGGGATTTTCACGCACAACCATCTCTAGGGTTTACATTTCTGCTGCAACATTCAGAATGTAGGGTCAGACGTTTGGCGTCAACAACATGAAAGCATGGATGCATCCTGCCTTGCATCAATGGTTCAGGCTGCTGGTGGTGGTGTAATGGAGTGGGGATATTTTCTTGGCACTCTTTGGGCCCAATAGTACCAATTGAGCATCGTGTAAACGCCACAGCCTACCTGAGTATTGTTGCTGACCATGTCCATCTCTTTATGACCACAGTGTACCCATCTTCTGATCGCTACTTCCAGCAGGATAATGCGCCATGTCATAAAACACGAATCATCTCAGACTGGTTTCATGAACATGACAATGAGTTCACTGTACTCAAATGGCCTCCACAATCACCAGATCTCAATCCAATAGAGCACCTTTGGGATGTGGTGGAAAGGCATATTCCGTTCATGGATGTGCAGCCGACAACTCTGCAGCAACTCTGTCAGGCTATTATGTCAGTGTGGAACCTATTATATATTTATTTTATTTAAAAAACTAAAATATACACATTTTTTGTTTAAATTTGAAAACAAAATGAAATAAATTATCTGTCCTTTCATTTATTTATACAATAAAACAAATATGTACCCTTATAAATAACTGTTTGCTTTAAATCAAAATTTTGTAATGTTGTAATTCACCTCAAAGCTGCTTAGCCTAAAAATTCTGTTAAAAACTAACTAAGACTAAGAAAAATATTCTATGGTAAAAACCAGAGGTGTGGACTCGAGTCATGTGACTTGGACTCGAGTCAGACTCGAGTCATGAATTTGATGACTTCAGACTCGACTTGACAAAATATAAAAAGACTTGCAACTCGACTTGGACTTGAACATAAATGACTCGGACTTTCACTTGGACTTGCGCCTATTGACTTGTAAAGACTTGCTACTTTCTATAAAAAGCCCAAAGATAAAAAGTATGTTGACACAGAACGCTCTATCTCTGCGTGTGTGTGCGTGTGTGACAGAGAGCATGCACGCATACTTTCGACCACTAGCGCTTTGTGGCGCACTTCCGTGTTTTTGCACCAGCGGGAAATTTGAAGATGCCATTTTCATTCTGACTCGGAGAGTGAAATAAACACATCCGCGATCTGCTCCTTTTGTTTTATTCAGCGGATTTACAACATCTGTCAAAGGTAAGAGACTTTACTACTCGCAATGTGTTACTGTTGTGCAAAAGCATTGTTTTACTGCTGTGTATAAGTCAATGAACTTCAGTTTTTTTTAAACCAAATTTACCCTCTCGTGATTTCTATCATATAATTATGAATGAACATGGCTGTAATTTATGTTTTTGCACTTGGTCGTTTATGTCAATGCACATATTATGTTTTATCTTTGTGTTTTGCCCATCCTCTGACAGTATTTTCTAACAATTTAATTAGTAGTAACATTAATTACATGCCATAATAACTAGATATATAATTTATTTTTAAAGCTCTTAAAACTGTAAAAAAAAAAAAGTTTTTTGTTATTTTCTGGTGACAATTTGCAATAAGGTTTCTTTAGTTAATCTATGTACTAACATGAACTAATAATGAACTATACTTTTAAACCTTTATTAATTATACTTTAACATTTACTATTGCATTATTACAATTTAAAGGTATGCTTATTAACATTAATGTTAATGCACTGTGAGTTAACAAGAATTAACCAATAATTTTTTTTCCATTAATTAAAGCATAAAATAATGAATTCTGTAATGAACTGCACTGCATTGTTTGTTCACATTAGTACATGCATAAACTTAATTAATTAATACAACCTTATTGTAAAGTGTTACATTTTTCATATTTTGGATTAATACTATTAATTTTATTTAGTATTTAAAACCTTAAAGGTATTTTTATTATTGTTGATGTTATGCCTCTTAGCAATATTTTAGTCCTCTATATGGTTTTTAATAAAATGTTTATTGTGAGATTGTAATGTAATGCATATATATTGTTGAATTTCTGTTTGTTTGTTTTTCTGTATATCCCCCTCTATATTTAAGGATTATCTACTATTTTTAAAGTACTTAAAACCAACCATCTAATAAAAAATACAATTAACAATCACATTTTGTTTCATGAGTGTCTTTGTTCCTGTTTTGTAGGACTCTTATTTTAACAGATTTCATTTGGAAACACTTGACTGATCATTCAATTAAAGTTTTACCTTTATTATTCCATCACTCAATGAGATCATTTAATTGTGAGTTGAATTACTCCATTGTTTTTAAATAAACTAAAAACGAAGACTTGTTTTATTCAGTTTGTTGAATTTGAACTTCTCTACTTTACATATTAAAAGATATTTAAAACCACTATGAATGTGTTTAAACTAATATTTAAATTTATATAACTGTTTCACTGTGGGTATTTCTATTTTAATTTATTTAGCACATTTATTGGCTATTCAAACATGAAAACAAGTTTTAGATACTTTGTGGCTCTAATAAATGGTTAAACATAACAATATCCCTGCAGAAAAATCCAGCTTAAACCAGCCTAGGCTCGTAAGCTGGTTTTAGCTGGTCGACCAGGCCGGTTTTAGAGGGGTTTTGGTCATTTCCAGGCTGGTTTCCAGCCATTTCCAGCCTGGTCTTAGCTGGTCAGGCTGAAAACTGACCAGCAAAATCCAGCTAAAACCAGCTTGACCAGCCTGGTTTAAGCTGGACATAGCTGGTTTTAGCTGGTCATCTCCCAGCCTGACCAGCTAAGACCAGGCTGGAAATGGCTGGAAACCAGCCTGGAAATGGTCAAAACCCCTCTAAAACCAGCCAACCAGCCTAGGCTGGTTTAAGCTGTTTTTTCAGTAGGGATTTTTGACAAAATGTTCTAAAATGATTGTTTACAAGTGCCTAAGTGGGATTCGAACCCCGTTCTTTATGAAAAGAAAGAAAAATCTGATTGGCTCTGACATTACTTTTACCAGTGGGCAGGTACTTCAATCTGATTTGCTGGTCTCTCACGCGCGTATTCAGTCTCTCTGCGTTTGCTTGAGTTTTGTCCACACTGGCGCTTCATAATTTTCCTGCTTTTGCTCTCCAGAGATCCTCCTGATAAATTGATTATTCCAGAATGTTGATATGGTTTATATATTGCTAAACTATTTAGTAACAATACACGAAAAACTATGAGGTTAAGGTAAATTCTATAATAAATACTAGTGTTTTTGAGAGTTAGGTATACTGCCTATGTTTAAGCCTAGTATTATTTACAAGTTGTTAATGAATGCTTCAGCATACTGTAGTATTAAGAATAGTGAACTAATAAAATGAAATACAGAGTGTAGTTTTACAACAGTAAAGTGTGGTGAATTGTAGTATAATATACCCAATACTGTAAAAAAACTACAGCACTGGGTCATTTGTTTATATTACACTTGTGTTACCATAGCAACTATAATATTACCCCAACAGATTAATTAAAGTACTTTACTATAGTACTGTTCAAAACCCTGTCCATGCCAATAAATGTGTTCAGGGGCCCTGTGGAACAGCTTTTCCTCAAAATGAAGAGGATGACATGGAAAATGTCCTCCACAATCTCATCAATAATGTGGAAGACAGCAGAGACTAGTTCACTTTATTTTAGTTGCCATTATAAAATGGGATTGATAGTGAGATTTATTTAAAGAGTGAATAGTACAGTAGGCTATAATGCCAAATCAAGTTTTTCCTTATTTTTATCACAGTTACATTTCTGCTTGCGTTAGTTATATTTTTGTTTAAATGTTTTTTATTTGATTAGTATGGTGAACCTTTTGGATGTTTAATAAATGTTTGTAAAACAAAATACATTCTTTACATCCAACCTCTATTCTCTGTGTCTAAGTGTTTGAAACTGAAAATATCTCATTATAAAACATACAGCCAAAATGTTATGGTTTATTAGATAAAAAATTGAATATGTAAGTCTATTTTAGTATTTTGGTTATTGTTAATAAATAGTGCCTCAATATAAATCATATCAAAAAGCACAAAAGGAAGAGGAAACACAAGACACAAATTCTATATATAATCTCTGAGAGCGCGCAGGAAAATGTGTGCGTGAGCAGTGCATATTTGAGAGTGAGAAAATTTGCGCGTTAGCAGCGTATATTTGAGAGCTCGCAAGCAGTTTTGTCCACAGAGGAAATCGGTGCACGAGCATCACACAAGGTAGAGAGCAAAGTTCTTCATTGTTATGTGAAGAAAACAACGTTATTGTTTGTATGAAGTAGCCTACTTCATTAACAATATGTGCTACCATTTTACATTGCTGCTAGACAGATTTGCATCTCAATCTCTTCAGCACACACAAGATTCAATTGACAAAATACCAATTTCACTCAATTTTACTTTGCAGCATACAGGAGTTGTTGGTCTACTGCTGCCTCATTGAGGTTGTTTATGTAGTTTTAGTTAATCACAAGTTGATCACCGAAGACATAACATAGCACAACTAAACTTAATGAACTAGACAGCAGTAGACCTGCAATTTCTGTGTGATGTGAGGCAAAATGGACTCTTTTTTTGGTGGAACTCATTCTTGTGCAATAGGCTGTGTAGACGAGACGCAGCACTGTTTAGCACTTTTTCAGAAAATTACATTTGTATCTTTATATATCTAAGCAATGTTCTTTCATAAAAAAAAAGGTTTGTTTAATAAATACAGATCTTACAGCCATACATAATCTGTTAAAATTTTATTTTTCTGTTAAAAAGACTCGAAAAGACTCGAAAATCAAACTATAGGACTTTGGACTTGACTTGAGACTTGTTGCCTTTGACTTGGGACTTGACTCGGGACTTGCCTGTCTTGACTCGGGACTTGACTCGGGACTTGAGGGCAATGAATTGAGACTTACTTGTGACTTGCCAAACAATGACTTGGTCCCACCTCTGGTAAAAACACTAACCAATTAACACTACTGAAAAAGTGTGTGACACTAATGCACTCTATATGCAATTCTTCTAATGCGTTTGTTCTAGAAAGCATATGTTCACTACAGAAAACTCCAAATATTTCTGCATAATGTAGTAAAACGTGCAGTGAATAAGGCAGTGGTGGGACTTACACTATTGGTCCATGTTGATACAGCATAAGCAGCGGCTTCCACTTTGTTCAGTGCAAACGTGTCCTCCAAGCATTTTCTGTATCTCTCAGTTTCTCCATCCTCATTAGCAAAGCTCCTCACTGTTTTCATGGAAGAAAAGGTTTCTGTAGCCACTTCATTCGCCTTGGCCAAAGAATCTTGCACTTGTGCCGAAAGTTTCTGTAGAAAAATCAAGATAATCAATAGGGCTGCACAATATATCATTCAGCATCGATATCGCAATGTGTGCATTCGCAATAGTCACATCGCAGCATCTGCAATGTGGAGTTGGGATTATTATAGCTGATCAGCAATAACGATTGCACAGTGTTATTTTACATTACGTTTGACTATGCAATAACAGCGCCAGGACAAAATATTGATGCCTCTGCTTTCATTTAATTGAAGACCAATAGAAAATCGTTCAAAAAAAAGGCACTTCTCAATGCAAAAAGCATGCTTGGTGTGATCAAGGCCTAAGGCAGGGGTCATCAACTATATTTTTCAGAGGGCCAGAGTTTTACCAGACAGTCTCTTTGGGGGCCAAACCCCCAAGAAGAAAATCAAATAAAAATCTCATTTTTATAATTTTAATAATGTTTATACTTTTTCCATTTCATTACAAACTGAAGGCATTTAATTCAGGCTCCCATCACATATATCACAGTCAACCACTAGGAGTGATAGAGAGTTCTCCACAAACGCAGTGAAAATGCTGCCATTAGACGAGGCGGCCACTCAGAGCCAGCTGGCTGAAATTTAGGTGTATATTGTATAGATATATACACTAGATGTCGCCTGGCCTATTGTTGTCTATTGTACGGAATGCGTCAATAGCGCCGCCATCTTGCTACAGGGTAGCGCTCCTTTGAAATGAATGCGGGACCAAGGTACAGTGGAGGACTGTGGCCATCCAAAGCCAGAGATATACACATATACACTTATATCTTTGATCTGGAGTTTTCCTGGATGTTAGTAAGTAATTTTTATTTTCTAATTAAGAAAATTATAATTTTCAATCACTTTTCTACATTGATGGATCAGTGACCGCACGGGCATTCCTGACAAAAAGCTTGTGTTTGTGTGTACAGAAATGTACTATTCACCCTCCCTGTTAAATTTGATCTAATCATGTCCTGAAACACAGCTCCTCTCCTGCTTTCACTTCTCATACTGACAGAGGGAGCGATTCGTTTGTGAATGAATCCCCCGAACGACTCTTTTACTAACGTTAGCCGACAATAATACAAGTTTCTGCCAGCGCAGCATCTCGTTTTCATATTTCTTTTGCATTGTTTGCTGATTTTATTCAACAAAACTAGCATAAGCCGAGTGTTTAGAGCGAGTTGGAGCTGCTTTGCCGTATGGTGAATGCAGTAAGTGACCGATTATCATCAATAACGTTACCTGATCAGCACAAAAGTTCATAACATACAAAAACAGAAAAAAACTTAATATTACCTATGAAATGTTCTGCCTTTGTGCTTTGTTTTCTTTGTTTGCTCGTTACTACACCCGTAGACAGCGCTAAAGTCCCGCATCTTCACGTAATAACACTGTCTTGACTAGTGCGGTTGAATGACATTTGTCCTGGGAGCACTGTACCAATGCGGCGCTATTGTCGCATGGTCCCTATGTGATATCTAGTGTATATATCTATGGGCGACGCGAAGGTGGCTCTCCGTGGTGTTGAAAGCCTGAGCGCATTTTAGGTATCTTGTCCTGAGACCTATGACATTGAAAACGCTGCCTATGTATGTGCTCACCATGTTCGGTTTAACCTACACCTGTGAGGCTGCATTCTCCAAGATTAACTCGATAAAAACACACGAGAGGAACCGACTGTCAACCCAGTCTTTGGAGGACTGTTTGCGTATACGTCTGACAGCGGCCAAGCCTGATGTGAAAAAGTTGGTGTCAGAGGGGAAAAGTAACTTTAGCCATTGATTAAGCACTGTGTGTAGCCCGTTTCAGCATTGTGATTTAAATTTAAACCCACTAGACGTTTTATTTGATGTGCGAACATTATTTGTGACCTGTTTTGTTCTGGTACCAGGTTATTTATTTACCATGCTATTTTAAGTTGTGCCAGATTGTTTTTCCTCCTTTTTTGTCCTGAGGAGTCTGCTAGTTTCAAGCATGTTGTTAAAACGTAGAAATAAAAAACAAATGTTAAGGTTATGATGAAAAGTTGTGTTCGGGTTTTTTTTTTCAAACCTGTTTGAAACAATAAATCAGGGCTCGAAATTAACCTTTTTGCTTGGTAGCACCGGTGCTCCTAACTTTAAAAATGTAGGCGCATCAACCAAAATTTAGTCGCACCAACCAATTATGAGCACCATAACTACACGTTTTATACAAACATATTTATTGTATTTGAAATCAACACTAATCAAACTAACAAGTAAAAAAATTTAATACATATATGCAAGCGTGAGGAAAATATGTCTCAACGAAATCCCGTCATCACAAGAAAATACATTTTTATAACAGAACTGAGTGACCAAAAGATACACGGAGCGCTCACCGGCCCTGCACACACTGCTTGAATGAATCTGTTAACGATACAACTGTGCTGTTCTCACAAGTGCTGTCTGATATTGCACAGATGCTTTTGACACATACTGTACCTTATTATATGCATACGTCATGTTAATAGCCATACCGGTGTATTCATGAGTAGCGATATTAGTTTACTCAGTGTAAGCCCGTTTGCGATGGTGTACGTGGTGTTAAATTTGACATATAGCTGCCCCTTGCACGGCGGACAGCATCTGGCGATTATATGAAGGATTAAACAGAAGCTCTCGTGCTAGATGTGGCCCGCAGTTACCTGAAAATTCCATGCCACAGACTTTTCACAGCAGACTTGAAGCCAATGGAAGTCTTCTACTTTTGGAAAAGTGTAGATGGAGGATTAACATTTAGCACATGATCACTAGTAAGATGTGTCATTATTTGCAACTAGATGGTTTATAAAACTAAATCTGTCAGCGTTATCTTCTTTCTCATCTTCAGCGTTTTACAGTTTTTCGCGGTAGTAGCTCTCTGTCATCCCAAGCCAGAAGGCGCTGAGTGATTGACAGCTGATATTAACCAATCATTCACAATCAGTGCTAGAGCAGTGGTGGGCCAATAAGAAGAGCGCGAAGGCGGGGCAAGCATTACGGACTTGGATTTGTTTACTGCACCAAGTCGACATGACAACTGTTTTAAACCTTTTCTGAGCGCTGCGTTTCGCGTTCCAAGTGCAGACAAAGAGCTTAGAGATGCATTCTGAGTGAATGTCTCCCGAATCCGCGCATTTGCTGAACATTTTGCAGTAAAAACTGGTCGCACACAACAATTTTAAGCACTCGCGGAAATGCTCCCAAATATATTTTAAGGTCACACAGATAAAATTTCGGGCGCATATGCGACCAAAATGGTCGCAATTTCGAGCCCTGATAAATGCTTAACGCCGCATAGTCGTCCTCATTTTGAGTGTAGCCTAAATACAGTCAATTAGTGGTTATTCTGACAAGAGACTCAGTTGTTATTTTTAGTTGCTTTAACAGTGTGGACCACAATTTTATTTTTGATCCTCACAATATTGGAATCCAGTCGCGAGCCGGATTGAACAGCTCAGTGGGCTGGATTTGGCCCGCAGGCCGCCAAGTGATGATCAGTGGCCTGAGGGGATTATGGAAGGGATTAATAGTGAACAATATATTTTTGTTTCTCTCTGTATAGTAATGCAAGGTTTGAAGAAATTTCAATCTGACCTGGTAAAACCGTCCAAAAATTTCCGGGATGATCCAGATGACGGGCAGGCCGAGCAGAGTGAAGCAGCAGAGTCTGGTGGAGAGCATTAACATGGAGCCGAAGAGGAAAATGACCCGCATGAAGTACCACATCAGCAGACTCAGCTTCTCACTCAGAGACTCACTCATGGTGTTTGTGTCGGTGGTGATGCGAGACACGATGTCCCCTGAACAAAAAAAGCAGTAACAGTGCCTGAATTACAACAACTAGCCTGAGCAATATGTATGATTTAACGCTGGTCATAATTAATTAAAGTCCCATTAGTTATAATCTCTCCCTCATCAGCATAAACAGCCCTGAGTGTGAAGCAGCTATTCATCCGTGGAGTTTTAAATCTGCTGCTGTGTTGACACATGTATAGCATTTTTAACTCCGCCCCCTTTTGAAAAGAGCACAATTTCATTTGAATTTAAAGCGACAGTCACCAAAACAACAAAATCAGAGGACTTATTTGACATCTTTTAAAAAGGGGCATAATTAGATGAAGAGGAAAAAAATGAAAATTGGACAGAAATGTCAGCCTAAAAAAAACTATTTCGGTCGACCTCTATTCACTGCACAAGAACCAGCACTGCAGTTTTACCTGTGGTAGCTTTATCGAAGAACGCAATATCCTGTTTTAGTACAGCCTGGAAGACGAGTCCTTGGATGGACGTGTGTATTCGGCTCATGGTGATGTTGTAGATGAGGTCACACACAAACTCACACACAGCGCTGCGGAAAAGCAAACATTTTAGAAGTTTTCCCTCCGAAAACCTACACTTCCAGTCAAAAGTACTGCACATAATTTGCGCATTATCCATTCATTCATTCATTCATTTTCTTGTTGGCTTAGTCCCTTTATTAATCCGGGGTCGCCACAGCGAAATGAACCGCCAACTTATCCAGCAAGTTTTTACGCAGTGGATGCCCTTCCAGCCGCAACCCATCTCTGGGAAACATCCACACACACATTCACACACACACACTCATACACTACAGACAATTTAGCCTACCCAATTCACCTGTACTGCATGTCTTTGGACTGTGGGGGAAACCGGAGCACCCGGAGGAAACCCACGCGAAGGCAGGGAGAACATGCAAACTCCACACAGAAACACCAACTGAGCCGAGGTTCGAACCAGCGACCTTCTTGCTGTGAGGCGACAGCACTACCTACTGCGCCACTGCCTCGCCCCTTTTCGGTGTAGTCCCTTTATTAATCTGGCGTCGCCACAGCGGAATGAACCGCCAACTTATCCAGCATATGTTTTCCTTCCAGCAGCCCTTCCAGCTCCAACACATTACTGGGAAACACCCATACACACTCATTCACACTCGTACACTACGGACAATTTAGCTTTATACAATTCACCTATAGCGCATGTCTTTTGGACTGTGACCAACATGAGGAGAACATGCAAACTCCACACAGAAATGCCAACTGACCCAACCGGAACTCGAACCAGCGTTCTTCTTGCTGTGAGCCACCGTGCCGCAAAATTAGCATACAAGGTTAGGTTGCCTTTTTAGTCTCACCTCATAATGGTCATCAGGGTCATGACAGTGATAGCGTGGTTAAAGGCCTCGGGTTCGTCTTCATTCATGATCCAGTCTGTCATTTTCCCAGTGTAATGAGGAATCGCCATTTCACCTGTGGATGAAACATAAGCATGTGAATTTGCATGCACTTGTTCTCGGAAATATTTTGCAACTTGCTCACATTCAAAAAGATACAAAGTGAAAAGTTTTATCATCACGGACCTACATTTAAAACATAAACAGCTCTCGTTAATAGTTCAGCATGCTTTCACTTTCGTATTTCAATTTCAATTCAATTCAGTTTATTTATAAAGCACTTTAAAACAACACAGTTGACCAAAGTGCTGACAACAAAGAGTAAAACAAACTTTAAAATACAAATGTCAACATCTCAAGCTGTGCTAAAAGCCAAATTGAACAGGTGGGTTTTAAGAAGAGATTTAAAAACAGTAATGAAAGAGGCTTTTCTAATGTACAACGGCAGCTCATTCCACAATTTTGGTGCAGCCACAGCAAAAGCCCGATCCCCTCTGAGCTTTCGACTGGTCCTGGGCACACCCAGGAGGAGCTGGTCGGCTGACCTGAGCGAACGATAAGGTGTGTAGGGACAGAGAAGCTCAGAGAGGTAAAGGGGTGCATTACCATTTAGACGCTTAAAACAAATAAAAGTACCTTAAAATGGATCCTGAAGTGCACGGGCAGCCAGTGAAGAGAAGATAAAATCAGGGTGATGTGCTCGTATTTGCGTGTGCCGGTAAAATACGTGCAGCTGCATTCTGAACCAGTTGCAGTCGAGAGATTAAAGACTGACTCACCCCAAAATAAAGGGCATTACAGTAGTCTAAGCGGGAGGTTATAAAAGCATGCATTACTGTTTCAAAGTGCTTGTGCGATAAAACGTGCTTAATTTTGGCCAGTTGTTGTAAGTGAAAGAAGCTAGAGCGAATAACAGACAGAATCTGGTTTTCAAGCTTTAGTTCAGGATCCATTTTAAAACCAAAAAGTTCACAATCTCTGGCTTACAAAAAGTTTTGAGATTATTTAGTTGTAAAGAATGAGCGACGTTGTACAGTTGTACAGAATGAGCGATTTAACATGAAACGCACATTTACCGATAGGAATGACCTCCCGCCCTACTTATAATTCTCTCTTCCTACAGCCGTATGCCTATTATATATCCATAATACACTGTGATATATCCGGGCTCGGATTGTTTTGCTTTCTCACTACAATCGATCCGCTCCAGAGTTCGTTTCAATCGAGCCAAGACCACCTCATTCAGGCGATCTCGGACCGATTGACTTGGCGCGGATACGAGCGCAATTGCTGGATTCACATATGCCAAATGAACCCCGCTAACTAGGCAAACGAGACAGGTTCCCAAACAAAAGTCTAGGTGTGAAAGCACCCTTATTAGAAACTCTGCCATGTGAAAACAAACCACACCAAGTACAAAGTGCAACATTGTAACAATTGTAATCCCTGTTTCGGAACAAAACAGGTGTGAAAGCACCCTACAATATTCAGGTACAGAAATTGAGTAATCACAATGCATTTTTTAACTTTGCTTTGTCTCGTTTCAAGTCCAAATATCTAAAAATTCTTTAATCTTTTCCTTTTCCCCACATTTTTTTTCTTAAAACAAACAAAAACCTGTCAGTAGGCCAAGTAAAATCGGCTTTGAAATGTAGATATTTGTCATATATAATCATATATATTCCGCATAAATACAGTAGTTACATACAATTCTGTAGCTCCTGGTCAACTACGGATGAATCGACTATGCTAAATTGGCTGTATTATGCTAAATTGTACTGTATGTGTGTGAATGAATGTGTAACCGAAGCACCCGGAGAAAACCCACACCAACATGGGGAGAACTCCACACTCCACACAGAAATGCCAACTGGCCCAGCCGGGCTCGAACCAGCGACCTTCTTGCAGTGAGGTGACAGTGCTAACCATTAAGCCACCCATTGAGTCACACTGACTTGTTAATATAATAAATAATAGCAAAATGTGCAATTATATCTAACCCATGGCACAGTGTAGTTTTACCTAGTGAAGAAATGACCACAAAGAAGAAGACGGCTGCAAAACGTCCACTGAAAGGCTTCATGTATCCCAGCAGTCTTTGCAGAGAAGCCTTGCCCTTCTTTTCTGTTCTCTCTTTTTTTGCAGTCAGCAGGATAGTAGGTACATGGCGTTTCCAGATTAAGAGAGACAAACCCAACACAAAATAGCCCTGCACAAGCTGAAATATAGTCACATGTAAATATACACATACAGTAAAAGTTATTAGCCCTCCTGTATATTATTTACCAAATTTCTGTTTAACAGAAAGAAGATTTTTTAACACATTTCTAAAAATAATAGCTTTAATTAATAATTTCTAATAACTGATTTATTTTATCTTTGTCATGATGACAGTAAATAATATTTGACTACAATGATGGTTTGTTCTGTAGACAATAGAAAAAAAATATTGCTTAAGGGGGCTTAAAATTTTGACCTTAATTTAAAACATTAAAAACTGCTTTGATTCTAGCCAAAAAAATCTAATAAGACTTTCTCCAGAAGAAAAAATATTGTAGGAAATTCTGTGAAAAAATCTGTTAAACACACTTAAAAATAATTGTGAAAGAAAAAAAAAATCACAGGAGGAGGGTTAATAATTTTGACTTCAACTGCATGTCTAAAACACACACAAAATATAACACATAACATTAGTGGTGTAATGGATCAAAAATCTCACGGTTCGGATCACATGGTTTTTTAGTCACGGATCGTACCATTTTTTTTGGATCAGCCAAAAAGGGGGAGGAGAAAAATGCTATTTGCTTTCCATTTATACTGCAAGCAACTTTTGGTTTTTAACAAACAAAACTTAGAACACCCGCTTCAAATGCTATCACTCAATTAAATGGGTGTTATCAGTGGATATCAGCTGATACATATGGGCCAGTAGAGGCCTTCTGCACCTACTGGTAGGCTCAGAAGGCTGTTATCATCCATCCGCAGGGTTAATCAGGTATAGTCATAGAGAAGACTCCAGATCTGTTTTTACATTACTGTGATGATCAGTGCTTCATTTGTGATTGCGAAGTCCCAGAACAGATCGGGGTAACGGATCTGACATGTTACCCGAGGATGTAGAGGTGAGTTGGACGGACAGGCGGTTGAGGAGGGGGATCTGTAAAATGAGGTGGCAGATCCGGATCTGGCGTGTTCTGGCACAAATCAAGCCCTGACTGTGACATTTGGTATTAGGGTTGGAGTAGGGGTAGACGTTAATAAAATACAATTATTGGTAAATTTTATAAATGATATAAATAATTTTCGTTAATCTATAGCTGATTAACAATGTGGATGGATGATAACAGCCTTCTAAACCTATTAGTAGGCGCAGAAGGCCCCTACTGGCCCATATCTATCAGCTGATAAACACTGATAATGCCCATTCAATCAAGTCATAACAATTGAATCGGCTGCTTAGAACCTGCAATTTTATTAAAAATATAAATAAATTTTAAAATACTCAGTATAGAGCTGCACGATCCTGGCTAAAATGAGAATCGCAATTTTTTTGCTTAAAATAAAGATCACAAATTTCTCTTGATTCTGTAGAATAAAGCTTAATATGAGCAATTATTATTGTTTTTTTCTCAAACATATGGTAAAACAACAATATTAATATTATGTGTAGGTCTACTGGTTTCTATAAATAATTATATTCTAATTATAATAATTCTGATGTTGAATTATGTTTGAGATATATGCTTGCAATCTGTCATTGACAACATTATTAGACCATTTAATTCACTGGTAAAATCAAGTATTTATACTGACACTGTAAACATGAATTTTCATGCACAACTGTGTGTTCGCTATGAAAGAAAAAACATATCAAATGCTTGTCATAATCATAACTCTAAAATGCGATATGATTATTTAAATGATGTGCATGCTTTCGGTTCTATTTTCACTGCTAAGTGCAGTTCATACTTTGGTTCATGCTCTCAAACGATCACACTGTGCCACAAACAGAATATTATTTACAACTTTATTACCTGTTACTCACAGCATATGCAGGTTCTGTTCACTAAAGTAGACGCACGCGCGGCCACGAATACAGCATTGCATAAAGACAAAAATGACATTATTAGGTGAATTATAGCTTATGAATACAGTATGTGACTCTTTTAACATCATTTGGAGGTGTCCATGTCGCTGAGCAACGCGTTTGAAACAATGAGAAGACTTGTGCATCCGCCTTTGCTTCTCTCCTGAACTTGAAAATATGATTAGCAGAATCGTAGAAATGCTGGATAAGGATCGTCTAGGATTGGAATCGAGATCACAATCTTTTTTCGATTAATTGTGCAGCAATTCAGTACTGTGAAAAATTCAGTGTTACTACTGATGTTGCTGATAATGCTTTATGCAGAAATCTAACATTATGATTTGTGCAACCCATATTTATTTTTAGTCTCATTTTCAGTAAATGATTCAGTCATTCACTCATGTTTCATTGCTAGATGATCATTTTTGAAGAATTATTCAGTGGCATATTTTTGATGACTGGTTGTCACCACCTATTGGTTAAATAATGTAATTGCTGCCTACAACTTTCATGTTTGGGTGCCAAGTTCAACGCATATGATGGTGATTTTAATCTTTACCATAAACATCAGTGGTTTTATCTAATCTATAAACTGATATCCCAGTACTCCTGTGTTATTTCACTGTTTGCAAACTAAAGACTAAATCTCATTCTTGATTTTTGCATTTTTGCAAACACAGATTTGAATGCAGCCATTCAAAAGAATTAATAAACATATGCAAATCACCATCATTTAGAATTTATGTTGCGTGGGTGTTGAGATCCCGATCTTTAATGATTAATTGTACAACTTACACTAAATGCATTAAGGCAGGCTAAACAAGTAGCGACAGAAAACACCTTTAACAACCTAAGAAACCCAGCACATCCGCAATAACCTACCACAACTTCTTCTGTCATCATTATATTTTACAGGAAAGTCTAAATGCTTTCATACATGTGATTTGAATAACACGAGAGGCGATCTGTCTGCAATCATTACAAATTTAGTAAGGTAAAAAAAAAATTACTAATCTGCAGGTCACGTGTGTTCCGAACCGTGGGTTGTGCTCTGTATATTATATGTTATGTACATGGTTGATCTGTGATTCGTTACACTCCTGCATAACATATAATATAATATAATATAATATAATATAATATAATAAAATATAATATAATATAATATAATATAATATAATATAATATAATATAATATAATATAATAAAACATAATATAATATAATATAATATAATATAATATAACATAATATAATATAATATAATATAATATAATATAACATAACATAATATAATATAATATAATATAATATAATATAATATAATATAATATAATAAAATATAATATAATAAAATATAATAAAATATAATATAATATAATATAATATAATATAATATAATATAATAAAACATAATATAATATAATATAATATAATATTATATAATATAATATAATAAAACATAATATAATATAATATAATATAATATAATATAATATAATATAACATAACATAATATAATATAATATAATATAATATAATATAATATAATATAATATAACATAGTATAATATAATATAATATAATATAATATAATATAATATAATATAATATAATATAATATAATATAATATAATATAATAAAATATAATATAATATAATAAAATATAATATAATATAATATAATAAAACATAATATAATATAATATAATATAATATAATATAATATAATATAATATAATAAAACATAATATAATATAATATAATATAATATAATATAATATAACATAACATAACATAATATAATATATTATAACATAACATAACATAATATAATATAATATAATATAATATAATATAATATAATATAATAAAACATAATATAATATAATATAATATAATATAACATAACATAACATAATATATTATAACATAACATAACATAATATAATATAATATAATATAATATAATATAATATAATATTATATAATATAATATAACATAATATAATATAATATAATATAATATAATATAATATAATATAATATAATATAATATAATAAAATATAATATAATATAATATAATAAAATATAATAAAATATAATATAATATAATATAATATAATATAATATAATATAATATAATATAATAAAACATAATATAATATAATATAATATAATATAATGAAACAAAATATAATATAATATAATAAAACATAATATAATATAATATAACATAATATAATATAATATACCATATTATAATATAATATAATATAATATAATATAATATAACATAATATAATATAATATAATATAATATAATATAATATAATATAATATAATATAATATAATATAATATAATATAATATAATATAACACACACTGTATCTTCACTTTAGACATAAAATACGTGTTAAAGCACATCTTACGCCTTGCCAAGAGTGCCAACCCCACACCAGCTCCACAGTAGACCAGCCATACGCCCAGAGGAAGGAGATATAGACTGGATAGAGAAGACCGTGGATTACAGCCGTTTGAACACCCTCCAATCCTCTCATCCACGCCGGACTGCCAGAGTAGGAGAAGGAGATGAAGAGCAGAAGACATGTTCGGATCAGTCCACCCAACCACAGCAGGATGAAGGAGTTATTGATGAAGGACGGAGACAGCTGGATGGCACCAATGGACAACACGGCGCACACGTCCACACACAATGCCAACAGGACGAACAGAGGAACGGCCATCTTATCCTTCATCTCCAGCACTGCAGAGGGGAAATAAGACATGAAATTAAATATCAGAAACATGCTGGCTATTCCAAGATGAAAAAATAATATAGTCATTTACAAATGATCTAACAATTGGGAATGCAAGATACTGTATGTATTTCTAAATGCAAATAAGTGAAATATTTTGTGAAATAAGTGAAACATTTAGGCTATCTTAGATGAATATAAAAAAGTAATAATTTATAAATACTATAGTGTTTTTTTTTAGTGAACCATACTATATTAAAATGCAATATACTGTATATACAGTTGAAGTCAGAATTATTAGCCCCCTTTGATTATTTTTTTTCTTTTTTAAATATTTCTAAATGATATTTAACAGAGCAAGGACATTTTAACAGTATGTCTGATAATATTTTTTTCTTCTGGAGAAAGTCTAATTTGTTTTATTACGAATAGATTAAAAGCGGTTATTAATTTTTTTAACATCATTTTAAGGACAAAATTTAGCTTTTTAAGCTATATTTTTTTCGACTGTCTACAGAACAAACCATCGTTATACAATAACTTGCCTAATAACCCTAACATGTCTAGTTAACCTAATTAACCTAATTATTGGAAACATCAATTCTATCCCAAATGAAAAAATACTATAGTTATTTAAAAATACTGTAGTGTTTTTTTTTTGAAGAATACAACTGTAAAATGCATTATATTGTATTCATTTCTAAATGCAAATAAGTGAAATAAATATATGAAATATTTAGTCTATCCTAGATGAAAAAATACCATAGTAATTTATAAATACTGTAGTGTTTTTGAAGCATACTATAGTAAAATAGACTTTACTGTATATATTTCTAATGCAAATAAGTAAAATAAATATCTGAAACATTTAGGCTATCCCCGATGAATAAAATAACAATATCATTTATAAATACCAGGGTTCAACGCTGAAGATTTTCTACTGGCCCGATTGGACCAGAGGTTCAGATTTTTACTTGCCCTGCCAATATTTTCACTGGCCCCACCAAAAAAAAAAAAAGCTAAGTTAATAGCTACTTCTCAGCCACATGTTTTTAATATTGTGTCAAAAATGTGTTTGAATCTAGAATTTTCAAATATTTTTAAAATTTTAATAAATTTGTAAAGAGCAAATCGTTGCATTGTACCAAGTAAATGTTTGCTTCCAAGACATTCTTTTAGCCTCATAAATTAATTTCGCTGTACTGGTTTTTTACCAGGTTACAAAAAAACGACATGCTACAATCAGATAGAAGGAACCGAAAAGCAATATGGTGTTTACAACATCACTGAGAAGGTAGCATTTAAAGGCTTAAAAGCACAAACTGTTTCTCGATTCTAAGACTGTATTCATATGCAATTGACAAATAGTCGCAGACAAATTGAACTTTTGTGAAAAGGCACTACGAATCGGGCCAGTAACAATTCTGTCTAAAGTCCGAAGCGCCTTGCACGCTGGCCCCGGGCCACCGGGCAGTCCTTATTGTTGAGTCCTGAATAATGTAGTGTTTTTTGAAGCATACTTTAGCAAAATGCATTATACTGTGTATATTTCTAAATGCAAATAAGTTAAATAAATATTAGAAGCATTTAGGCCAGTGGTTCTCAAACTTTTTTCATCAAGTACCACCTCAGAAAAAAATTGTCTCTTCAAGTACCACCATTAAAATGAGCAGCATTGAAATACAGTAGCGTAGTTGGCCGCTACAACTCTCCACAGTTAATAAACGTGGCAGACTACCTCAGAAATATAGGCTATATGTCATATATTACATATTATATACATCATTTTTGATACATTTTGAAATGTGTGTAGCATGTACATGACATATTTCATTTCTCCGCGTACCACTAGAAGGAAGTCTGCGTACCACCAGTGGTACACGTACCACAGTTTGAGAACCACTGATTTAGGCTATCCCAAATAAAATTAAAAAACTACCATAGTAATTTATAAATACTATAGGTTTTTTTAAAGCATACTATAGTAAAATGCATAATACTGTGTATATTTCTAAATGCAAATTAGTTATATAAATATCAGAAACATTTAGGCTATTCCAAATGAAAAAAAATATATCATAGTTATTTAAAAATACTGTAGTGTCTTTTTTAAGAATACAACTGTAAAATGCATTATATTGTATGTATTTCTGAATGCAAATAAGAGAAATAAATATATGAAATATTTAGGCTATCCTTAATGAAAAAATACCATAGTAATTTATAAATACTGTAGTGTTTTTGAAGCATACTATAGTAAAATGCGTTATACCACATATATTTCTAAATGCAAATAAGTTAAATAATCCCAGATGGAAAAGTACTAAAGTAATTTATAAATACTGTGGTGATTTTTTAAATCATACTATTGTAAAATAAATTATACTGTTTATATTTCTTATACAAATAAGTAAAATAAGTATATGAAACCTCAAATGAAAAACATAAATAGTCATTTTTAAATACTATAGTGCTTTTTAAAGCATACTATAGTAAAATGCATTATACTATGTATATTTTCAACTGCAAATAAATTAAATAAATATCTGAAACATTTAGGTTTTCCCAATGAGCTCTACTTTAACTGTGTTGACAGCTTCAATTCATTTATTCACAGCTTGTAAAATATTTTCTCTCTTTTTAACCCATGCGTCGTCAACCAGCATGTTACCAAGTCAAAACACAGTATATATAGATAGTAAACTCCATTTTTCCTAATCATATGCAGTAAATGATATAAAAAATTAACTATAATGTGTAAGTTTGAACCATACATTATATTATTTACACCTTGTTTGCACATAATTTCACATTATTACATTATTTAAACACACTTGTTAATGAATAAAATTGTAGTATTAACCATAGTGAACCGATAAACTGTAAGAAATACTGCAGAACACATTTTTATACAGTAAAATGTGGAGTATTTTGGTAGAATATACCCTATAGTTGTAGAAAAGTGTGATATTTGGTGATTTGTTTACATTACTATAGTTGTTGTGCTGTCATAGCAAATGCAGAAACACCACAACAGATTATTTTAAAACACTATTGTAGTTACTATTAATTACAGTAGTGTTGTTTCATCTGGGATTACTTATCAAATGCACTTACATTGAGAACAAAAACCCTGACCAACTTTACAAAACTTTGTGTGAATGGTATTACGACATGCCATAATCATGTTGTTACTATGCAGAAAGTAAAACTATTGTAAGGTACTTTTTGTCAGTGCTTTCGAGCAGGTAAACCAGTTTCACTTTCGCTCTCTCTATTAAATATATATTTGTTTCACTTATATTCAGTGTGTTTTGCTTACCAAACAGTTCGCTTTATACCTAAACCATTTGCTTTGTAAGACAACAGTCAAAGTATGTATTGAACAGGATTATTTAACACAGTATATGTCAAGCACAACAACGACTGTGAAAAGACCTGCATTACCGCTGGTTATCACCTACCTTGTTAGTAGATACAACTGCAACGCTGCTTTATAATATCAGGATTCAGTTTTCACTATCGTCGTCGGCATCTATTTAAAGTTTTATAGTTTAAAACTGGTAAACAGACGACAGCACTCCGCGTGAAACCTGCAGATTATATCCAAATCTGAAACTGAAAGCGTGTATGAGAGGAAAACCCCCATGGCTGAGTAAATGAATATTAACTACGCAACGTGTCATTGTCCTTCCTCATTGGCTAGCACACATACGTTGAGAGGCCACTAGCGAATCACTGATGACGCATTATAAATATTATAATGAAGGTATTTTTGTAAAACTCCCTCACCAAACGAGCTCTTGCGTCGTCATGCACTGTTGTAAATGTAAATCAAATCGTTGTCTTTTACCGCTTCTGCGCAATTCTCTGTTTAGGGCTTGTGTGTTGTGTTGTGAGTTTTCTTTTCTCTGACGCTGCTTGGTTGAAATGTATGGAAGGCAAATTGGGACAAAAAATATGGAACGCCATTGAGTCAAAAGTCTTTTAATTCTGGGTGACTTTTTTGGTTTACATGCGTTCACCAAAAATATTGTCATGTGAATAAAGTAATATGTGCAACCCTAATATCAAGGAAAAATAATACTTAAAGAATTACTTTTTTTTTTTTTAATTCACATTTTAAAATGTTTTTACATAGAAATTTGTATAGTAAACTTCACAGAGTATAAAAATAGTAAATTATGGATACACTTCAATAAAAAAAAAATGTAAGTGGGCTTATTCGATCTGTGAGAGGAGTAATATTATAGAGGAATCGCAAAAAAAAAGCAAATAATATTGTATGATGTAAGAGAGAGAATACAGTGCATCCAAAAAGTGTTAATTGTGCTTCACTTTTCGCGCATTTTTATTATTTTTTTTGTTACACCCTTATTCCAAAAAGGAATAAATAAATTTAAAAAATGCTCTAAATTCTAGACACAATAGCCCATAATGACAATGTGAAAGAAGATTTTTTGAAAGTGTTGCGAATTTATTAAAAATAAAAAAAAACTGTGAGGGCAATACCAAATAAATGAACAGCACTTTCTGGCCTTTGCTTGAAAAAGCTACATCATACATCTATATCTTCTTAAAATTAAGATAAATAAAGGCAGAATATATGAAGTTTAAACAAAAATCTCTTTAACCGTGTTTATTAATAGCGGTATATATTGCTCCCAATATGCTATTGCATTTGGTTTTGATGCAACATCCTTCAGGAAAAGAGCTTTTGTTGATCTGTCTCGCCCCAGAGAGTGCACGAGCTAACCGGGTGCCAGTCTGTGCCAGTGTTCAATGGAATGTTGCTCGGCAGCACATTTTGAGCAACAAACATGTATTATTCCTCGCGATATTGCGTTTACGTACATAAACCGCGAGGAACTACAGCACAAACGGGCCCGAGTGAAGCTTCACAAAGCGGACTTCGTGAGATTGACGTAGCTCCACTTGTACCGTCGGTATTGAACTCACCTTGGTGAAGTACAAACAGCAACACCTTGAAAACAAACACAACTGAGAGAAAACATTAAATCGGGCTGCGTCCGAAACCGCCTACTACTCAGTAGGTACTGCATTTGAATTTAAACTTACAACTCGGCCATTAAAAAAAAGTGCGTTCTATACAATATGAATTTGAAAAGTATGACTTTAATTCGGACATACTACATCATCTTTTTTGTCATGGTCACGTGACCTACCTGTGTCAGATGCGTCGTTTCACTCCCATTCATGAATTCTCTTACGGGGCATCATGGGATAGCTCAGTGTGCATGGGACGCGGGCTGCGTCCAAACCGCATACTTCCATACTATAAAGTATGCTAAAATAAGTATGCTTGTATGTCCAAATTTATAGAATTCTAAAATCAGTATGGGAGAACTACCCGGATGAATTACTACTTCCGGCAAGATTCTGAAGTGCGCATCCCATTCATGCTGCGCTATCCCATGATTTCTTTTGAGAGAATTCATGAATGGGAGTGAAGCGACGCAACTGATAGGTCACGTGACCATGACAAATGGCAGATGTAGTACGTCCGAATTCCATTCAAACTTCTCACACATTTTTCTAGCGGCCGAGTAGTACGATTGAATTCAAATGCAGTACCTTCTGAGTAGAAGGCGGTTTTGCACTCTCAGAATCTACCGGTAGTAAGTCATCCGGGTACTTCTCGTATACTGATTTTCCAATTCTATGAATTCAGACATACTACTCAGCTCGCGTACTGATTTTAGCGTACTATACAGTATAGAAGTATGCGGTTTCGGACAAAGCCCCTGTTACACACCGGCCAACGCTGACTATGAGGATCCGGATGGAAAAATACTAAGCCCAAAATGAAGGCTGTTGCCCTCTTTAAGGTGAATTAAAGATAGGGAGGGAGGTGGTCATTACAAGTAATATTTACTTACCCCAACCGATTTAAAAACATGTCAGCTGATTAGAAAAGGAAGAATGATAAAAGGAAGATGATGAAAAAGAAAGAAATGTCAGCTAATTCGGAAACGTCGACTAGCTAGGACTTTTAATGGAAAAAAATAATGCAGATTTAATTTCCCCCATTGTCAACGTGGCATCGCAAATATCTTTAGAATCAATATCAATAGAGGAAATATGATTTTCAATTGTTTTTAAAAAGATTTTGACAACTATCTATATATAATTCAGAAAGGTTACTATAGAAAATAGAGTCAAAAGTAGAAATTACTTTTGGATCTGTACACCTGACATCATTTATGATGAGCGCTGTTAATGACTTTCTCCTGCAGTTCTTCTTCTCTAAAGCAAAAAAATAAATAAAATTGTAGTCTCTCCCTCCTCAAGCCATTTTGCTCTTGATCTAACGAACACCCCTTTAGCCAAGTCCAAATAAGCCTGATTAATTTTAATATTTAAATTCCTTAAATGCAAAACTTCTTCTGGAGTTAGTATTTTGAGCAATAAATAATTTATTTCTATCAAGAGTTTACATATTTTATATTTTTGACGCCTTCAGTTCTTTAATTCTTCGAATAGCAATCTGTCTAGCTTTACTAGAAAAAAAAAAACATTTTGTTTTATAAATATTAACAGATTTTTGGAAAATACCTGGAATTAAATCTTTAATACTATCATTAAAAGAATTATCTTTCAAAAGGGAATTATTGTATTTTCAATAACCACGCAAATTTAGGAGTTCATTGGTATTGCCAGACATTTTTAATATAATTTGTTTATGACCTGAAAGGGGAGCAAATGAGTGGGAAATATCATTTACAAATTGAAGGACTGAGGAGGAGAGCAAAAAAAAAAAACATCAATTCTTGACTGGTAGGATCTATTTCTATTAGACCAGGTGAAGTCACATACTGTAAATAAGGGTGAAAAAAGTGCCAAGTATGTGCAAAATCCTGAACATAAAGCTGAAATATTATTATTTAAAAGAAGACAATCATTTCTCCTGGGAGGAAATCTATCCAAAGTGCCATCATCACACTCAATAAAATCACCAGCTAGAAGCATAAAAGTGTCTAGTTACCAATTGTTTCTTTTAGTTCCAAAGTTATTTACGAAAACAAAGATTTATTATCAGATCTAGAATTACAACCATAAATATTACAAATATTAAAGTTCGAGTTATCCTGTTAAAGTGATAAAATAATCCACCTCCCATCATCAGCTGATTTTGCCCCAGGAATTTGACCTTTGAATTTATGAAATAAAATAAAAATAAAAAACTCCAGCAGAATGGTTGGAGCCATGGCTACAAATGATAATATTGCCCCACTTATTTTTTATCCATTACACATAAATGACCTCATCAGCTTCAGCTTCTCAAAACAATGAATGAATGAGAGTTGATGAATTCCAGGAGTTTTCCAGGAGATAACCCAATACAGGAGATGGGTTTTTCACTCCCGGGAGTGTTGGCAGGTATGCCTTAATGTAAAAGCGGCTCAAACTTGCTCATTTTAAGGGTCGGAATCGGCGGACGTGAAACAACTTTAATCATAGGGTAAGCACAAAACAACTGTCTCCGTCTAGAGCTCCTACGCGAGACTCCACACTTGTAAACACTCGCTCCATCGGGCTCACACGAGGTGATCATTGTCAGTTTTCTGTTGTTCACTAGTGAGAAATAGAGGCTGTTTCTAATATATCAATCAGATGTCTTGGTTAGGACAAAACTCCTTTTAATATTTTTTAGTTTATTATAAGATGGGGCTCGATAGTCAGGTTCGCTCCTGTTGATGTCATCAATCTGGCAACCCGCACTTGCGTGTGTTTTGATCCAGGAATGCAATCCCTAGTTCAACCACTGGGTGTGAAACTTGCGTAGCCTTTAAGTTTATTATTGTTATTATTATTATTATTATTATTATTGTTATTATTATTGTTATTATTAATGTTATTATCATCATCATTTTAAATCTCTCTGATATTCAGCTTTTTTTCTTTGTTTGCTTTTGGTAAAATAAAATAAAATCTATGAATGTTTGTACAATATGATTAGTTTTACATACATTTAAAACCTAAAGTGTGAAAAAATAAAAATACCATTTTAAACAATAGTGTGAGTGTCAATCTTCAACACAAACTGCTAAGAAAAGAAACACATTTTAGCACGCATAATAAAAATCAGATATTATGTCTAGTTTGCACACAAGGAAGTGAAGGCTTTTTTGTGCGGCATTGTTCGATTGTCCTGTCAAATTTCCTTCGACACAATTCGCGCCGCACAATAAACAGTCTCAAAGGTAGCTCAAACTCCTGCGATAAAGCTGACCTTTCAGACTCGCACACACACATATTCACTCCTATTCTTCTCCACACAGTGGCAGGAAGTCGTCCATATTTCCGTCGCGCTCCTGAAAAAAAGTGAGGAAACCGTTGAACATTCACACACTTCACAACGTTTTACTGCACTGATAACACGTCTGAGGAGAGCATCTGAACACACCAGAGAAGCAGATGAGAGGATTTGCTGATTCACACACATTTTAGGAGGATTCGTGAAGAGGATCTGGAGCCCTGAATCTGCTTCTGTGGTTTCTGTCATGCACTTGATACTGAGGTTTACCTTCATACTGTGGTCTCTGTGCAGATCCGCTCAAGGTGAGTCCAGGACTGCTTGGAGATAGTAAGACACTGGAGAAAAAAAAAAAAAAAAAAAAAAAGATGAATTGGATTTACTCTCTTTTTTTATTAAGGTAAGTGGTTGCAAGCAATTTATTTGGGCTGAATTTAAATAAATTATATTGAGGAAT